GAATAACCAAAAAAAAAAGAAAAATTAGTTTTTTAGAAAGAAGGTAGAGAGAGATAGGGAGAGAAAGAGAGTGAATAGGAGGGTTAGAGGTTAGATATTTAATTTTGTTGTTTTTTTAGGTTATCTAGTGCAATTTCTCCTTTTTCAACGTCACTATAAAATAAACCACTTTTTTTTAGGTTTTATAGTTATAAATTTAGGGTTTATTGAGAACTTGGGATTTATAGGTGAGTGTTTAGATTCTTTTATTAGTTAAGAATCTAGTTTATTTGGCTATTAAAATTAGGGTACGTTATCAATTCTCCTTTGTGAGAAAAAACTTTCAGTTAAGTAAATAAAAATTCCAAAAGATTATAATAATCGAAAATAAAACTGAAAATTAGATTTTACAAATGGGGTCAAAAACAACTGAGCAGTTAAAATATTTGTAGTAATTCTCTCCACATGCGTATCTTAGATCCTCGAACCAAACAGAATCAAGAACTTCGATAATCAAGACAATGATAGTGCACAAAGACAAGAAGAACCAGAAGAAAACATTTTGGTTGGTTTCTTTTTCTATAAGAGAGCTTCGATGTCTATCTCCACGAAAGAGCATGGATCAGGGATGTCAAAGTTGTTCAAAACCTGAACGGAAACAAAAGCAAAAAACGATTTGAAATAATAAAACATTGCAGATATTTGGAGCAAAGAATGAAGACTTAAATGAGTGGTACCTGAGGATGCACGATTCCAAAGTTACCAATTTGTTTCCCTCTGACAACGATGCTAGCTTGCCTGCCCGGTAGAAACTCGGGCTCCTTTTGCAGAAGGTTAAAAAGAGATAGATTAGGATCTTGAGTTAGTTGATAATGAAAAACCTTTAGATGCTTGCGGATCGAAAGGAGAGCTTACTTGAGAGAGCTTTATATAGTATCCGTTATTGTCATTGATTTTTACAAATGGGATTGCCATCACTTCCATGATTCTATCGACGAGGCCATGGATAAGCTGAATCAAGAATTATACAGAGATCAGTTGATCAAGTTGCGAAAACATGAGAGAAAATAAGCTAATATAATGAAGATATTATAGTTGACAACGGAAATCCATACCTCAAATCCAGAAGTAGCACCACAGTGTAGTGCAGCGAGATGGCGACGATTGGATGCACCAACATCTTTGCTCTCGTCCAACATGGCCACATCACTGATTTCATAAATCTTTAACAGAAAGAAAAGAATTTATCAACCCTGCGACACTAAAATCTCAAATCTAGCTAACGGCACCAAAGATATGGTTTTACCTTAATTGGTTTAGGGTGGTCTTTGTTGGAACCAACAGTCTTCAATATCCCGGGCATCAGAGTCCTCCTCATGGCCTATTTACCAAATATAATGAAACAATTTTCGGCAATTAGCAAAGCATTACCATTGGAAAAGTTTACAAAGAGATGAACAAAGGATTTGAAAGGAACCTCAAAATCAGCAGACCGCGGGTTCCCAATTATGACGGCTGAGTTATCATCCACTCTATTTAGCATCGCAAAGTTCTCTTTATGCGAGCATAGTAGCCACGTTACCACCTCGGTGTACACATTCATCGCAATCTAAAATTCAAAATATAAAATAGATCATTTCCGTGATAAACAAATGCTTAAAAGTGATTTAACATGAAACCAAGACACAGATCACTGTGAGCTGATGCACCAGCAAAATGGAGGTGAAAATACCTCTATTCTTAGAAGATCAGTGAGCTCATTCAAAGGCAGTGGTTTTATCGAAGCAGGCTTTCTTGTTGGGATGTTATTGAAACCATAGGCAATGGCAACATCCTGGTGAAATACAAGCAAAGTGATTAGTTATATGGAGAAAGGAGAGTCATCATAATGGCATTATGTCACCAACACAGAAGGGTGTTAGTTATGAAGTATACCTCCATAACATCACAAGGGTGGAGAACGTCGCTCCTGCTGGGGGGTACATGTACTTTGATGCCACACTGGTTATCACTAGATTTTGCTTGCTCAGCATGCAACTGCATTCGGGTCAGCAGACTTGTAACCTGAAAGGTACAAAATCCATTTCACATAACAAATGATCAAAATCATTGCACAGTACCCTCTAAAATTTAATTGCACTGCAGCCTCTAAAATCGACATTTTCAACAAGGAAAATGAGGTTGGTTCAATCATAACAACTTGACAGCAGTGATGTCTCTATTACCTGTTCCACCTCCAAAGAGACTCCAATTGAGTCTGTAATGTAAGAGAGAGGAACTTCCATATCATAGACAGCTAAATCCGGATAGATGTATGACTTTCCATCGTTGTATGTAACTTCAACAGGCTCAATCTCAAATTTTCTCGCACAATATTCTGAAAAGGTTGTAACCTGGAAAACGTTGAATGATTAGTTAGATATTGATCAGCTAGCACTGTAGCTTTTATTTATTTACGACATACCATTGTATTCAAAACAATTTTGGCCTTCGTCAAATCAGTTGCTGTACATTCAATGAGGACATTCTTTGTCTGTAAGGTAATTGCTGAATGTGCACCATTGATAATAGGCGGCAATGACAGCACAGTTCTGCAAAAGTGAGCTTTCATTATTTTTCACTACATAATTCATTTATAATAAGAAAATTATTGTGATTGGTTTATGAAAGTATTTATCATAGATTGATAGACATCTGTACTTCTTCAACCCTTTAGGTAAAATTAACAGAACTAGGAAGAACAAATACCTCTTACTGTCGTATAAAACAGGGAAGACGGGTGAATTCTCGATTATGTGTAGAAATTTTTTGAGCTTCATATCTGACTGCAAACAAAAGTAATCTTTCACACATCAAGGAAAATCCTTCGGAAAGCCTAAGTAGTTATTCAGCGAGTAAATAATTATTTCATCTCATTATATACATATCCATATAATCTAAGTTCGGGGATATCTTTCTTTGATTGTTTGCTCCAAAAAATTTAGGATTTCACAAGAGTAACAAATGTCGTAACACAATAACCAGAAAGTAAAAGCTTCATTGTTTACCTTGTAGAATTCAATTAGTTCATCAGCCCTGAAGCTCTTTGTCTGCGACCAAGGTATTGGTATTAGGTACAAACATGAAACAAACTAGATTGTCACTAGTGAGAAATTGTACTAGTTGATGAACTCATAAGGATATTGACTTACTTGCTTCAAAGGTACAAAATTTATCTCCGTTGGCGGCAAAGCCTGAAAAAAAAAATATACCATAGAGTCAATGAGACATGGAAAAAGCTCAACTAAAGAAATTGTCAGCATAAATCAAAGGAAACAGAATGTATGAAAGTTTGATCAGCATTCTAGTTATAAGAATTACACTAAATAAGATCAGATACAAGAAATGGACAGGTAGAGGAAGACTACAGACACGAAAAAAGAAATAGGAAAAATGATAACACACAATTACCTCGTATGTGAATGGGCCCTGCAATGTATCAAGGTCATGAGTTCCAATTGCAACCAGGGATCTTCGCCTGAAATATGTAGCCAATATAGATGAAAATCACACAAATTGCAGAAATGGAACCTCATAAATCAATGGAAACTAATTTTTAATCCCAAAACGCAAGCCACACAATGATGGTAGCTAATAATTGAAATGATACAAGAGAGACCAAATGGATCCTATAACTAGCCATGTCATTTACCGGCAAATATTCTGATGTAGCTTATCCTGAAGATCAATGAAGCTGTTGTAACGAGCGTCGTCAAAGGTTACACCTCTTAAAACAGCACATACGACAAATGGGCGAATCTTCGATGTCTACAAAAGGAGAAAAGTTTCAATCATGAAGGAGCCAAATCAGAAGGTAGTTGGCAAACAACAGAAATAAACACGCACAGACCTCAGGTTTAACATTCATTTTAAGGAGCTTGTCTTTGCTAATGTCAGCAAGGGTATACGTTGGTATCTCCTGTTTCTTGTTGAAAACGCGAAGAGCTTGCGCAAGCCCTTCGAGGCAAAGCAAATCATATCTGCATTGATTAAGATACAAAAAGTACCAAATCAAGACCCTAATTATCTTTCTACTTAAACAATTCCCTAATTAGCAGAAGAACAGTAAACCTGTTGGCAGGAATTTCAATCTTGTAGATGATTTCTTCATCATCATCAGCTTCTTCATCGATGTGCTTCTCTTTTCTGATAATTGCCTTCTCAGTAGTCTGGTGGTCATGGATAAACGATTTCAAACAAAACCTTAATCAGGATTTAAAAAAAAAAAATCTAATCACAAAAGCAGAAGAAAAGCAAGTCACTGACCACATCGTCAAGCTCGATACCGAAACGAAAACACAGATCCTCGAATTCTTCCTGAGCTGCATTACAAAGAAGAAATTAGAAAACGATGAATCAGAGAAAGGAAGGAGAAGAGAAAGAGTTGAAGTTTGAATTACTGTAGGACTGTCCAAGAGCAGCGAACAAACGGTCTCTACCAACACTGATGGTTGGCATATTCTCGGATTTGTGAAATTAGCAGAAAGATAGAGAGATGACTTCTTCTTCTTAGTGTGGGCTGATTTTGGAACTAGGGTTTCTAAGGAACAAAGAAGAAGTAGATGGCGACTTTTTCACCGTTACAATATAACTCTTGATTTTATTTTTTTTAGTTTTTTTTTTTTACCTCTTTTTATTTTTTATTTTATTTAGGTCGTCTTTTCTTTCTTTTCATTTTATTTAAGGGTGATTTAGGTGAATAACCAAAAAAAAAGAAAAATTAGTTTTTTAGAAAGAAGGTAGAGAGAGATAGGAAGAGAAAAAGAGTGAATAGGGGGATTAGAGGTTAGTTTCTTAATTATAGTATTTTTGTTGGTTAGTTTTGCCAATTTCCCTTTATTTAATTTGTTTTTTTTTTTTTTAATTTCTCTGCCACTTCAAACAAAAGAACAATATGTGTTTTTCAAAGCAAATTTGTGTCTCAAATGACCAAAAGTTCAATACTCACAATAAGAAGAGAAGAGACCTCAATTTCGAATCAATAAAATAAAATAATACAATTTCATATTAATTAAATGAATAAAATAGGAAAACATAATTCAGCCAAAATTGTTTTGTCTCTGTCTTTTATGATCTCTCATAGTTTTCTAAGTATTTTCATGGACAAAGAAACAGAAAACATGGACTGCAGAAAAGTTGTAACATCATCAAAACTTGGGCGATAGGACAAAAAAAAATAAGGGCTGGCTTTATAGACACAATCTCACAACAAAGCGCAAAAAGAAATAACAGCAGATCTGCCTCAGAGAGTGTGTGCGCACTGGAACAACTTGCAAGGCCTTGGTTGAGTCGGAGAACATGATTATGTGTAAGGTGGTACAACTGCAGATTTGAGAAAGAACCACACAAGAATTCAACATCAGCAACAGTATGAAATCTTTATCAAGCTTTTAATCAAATTCCATCTGGATGGTGAAAGCCAACCTTGTTGCCTCTCAAGTAGACATTGACAATACTATATACATCTGGAGAAGCCTGCAAAGAGATGGAACATTATATTAAACACACGGATTCAAACCTTTCATGTAGATTATTCAGGATGAGGATTTTTTTTTTTGGTAAAACCTTTAGAGCTCGCAGCGGAATTGACCTGAGAGACATTTCTTTCTATGAAACTAGCTGTATTTCGAATGCTATCTGAAAACGTGACTCCCGTTTTGTTGAAGCCTGAGATTTTCTATAAGGGACTGGTAGTATGACTTGAGGCCCCGGATATCATTACCCTGGAATACCAAACAGGGAAAGGAGAGACTATGTTTAAGCACAAATACGAGATGATTTTTATCTAACATACAGTTGTTTTGAGGGAGTAAAACTTATCAAACCTGCAACTTTTGGCAATACTGCTCCGCCAAATCTTGTGGAATCTGTGCTGATGGAAAACTTTTCGACATAATATGCATGAGAAACGCATTACCAAATTTTTCATACATCACTTTCTGAGCTGTGATGATTTCTCCGAACAACGCGTGCTGTGTTAATAAAGCAGATGCATAGGGAAGGAAGAAATCCAGTCAGTTGTGGAAACAATTCAGAAGTTTATACAACTGCAACAGACAGAAGGAAAAAAAGAATTTAAGTTTCTTATGCTTACAGTATTTGCATCACTGAAATCGAAGGATTTATCTAGTACACTGTACAAACAACAGTTTGTTGCAAACGCTTCGATTACGAAATTCTGAAAACCTGGAACCTGAAAGCAAATAATTCTTGATTATGACATTTGTCATTCTTTCATGAAGAAAAGAAAGTTAATAAAAATTATTTACACGTAGACCTTCTCCTCGCTATATGGCTTGGCACACCAATCTTTAATTAGCTTAATAAATATCTGCACGCAGGCCTATTTATATGGCAAAAGAGTAAACCAAGAGGAAATAAGTAAGCAAAAAAGATCATCAAAAGTAAATGAATATGCAACAAAGGGAAAAGTGTTACAAACCTTACGTACGGTAATATCCTTGTGATTACAAGAAGTATTCAAAAGCAGCTGCATCATAGGATCTAGATACGCCGTACTTTTGGGCGTAAGAAATACAGAAGAGAGATCGTGTGTGGCTATCACATGAAGAAATGTATACAACATCCTTTGGAGCTCTATCAGTTCCCTCAATTCCTACACAAAAAAGGATATATGACTGGATGTAAAGGACGCTACGATATCATCAGGTTCTCAAGTTACAATTGCAAAATAGCCAGGAAATCATGCATGGAGATCATAAAATTGAGTTAGAAAGAAAATCAAACAAAATACCTCAGTAACAGCCCCAGGGCGTGAGGGGAGCCCATCTCTTGGAATTACTTTGAAAATCCTATCAGCAACCACGGGATATACTTCTTCCAGTATATCACGGAGAGCGCTGTTGAACTTGCAGATAAGCTGATTGAGTAATACCAGGAAACCAACCATTTCCTTTGGCTGCAACAATACACATACACAGTAAGAATTTTTGTTGAAGAAGTTATCAAATTAGTGTGCTCAACGCAGCATCATTGCACGAAATGAAGTATCTTGATTAGTAGATATTACTCCCAGATAAGAAAGTGCATCGTAGGAGTTCAACTAAATATTAATTTGAGGAAATGAAAACAGTGGAGCATTGAATAATATAACGGGAGCTCTGAAATTTTCGTTCTACCTCACTGTCAGCAAGTAGCTGTTCCAAAGCCTTGGGAAGATAAGGGAACACAGCGGAACCAAGGGTATCAACCATACGGTGTATGAATGATGTGACCTACAGAGAAGAGGAACAAGCTAATCACTGAGCTGTTAATCAATAACTTAATGGAGAAGAATATGCAACACTAGTGATTACAATAACATACAACTAAACTCATACCTTACTCCGCAAAGGCTCGACCTTTGGAAATTCAATTAGAACCCTTAGAAGCACATCCAGTGTCTACATTATGGAGAAGGTTACCAATTGTTAATAAAGAGTAAAGACAGAGCAGTTTCAATTACGAGTCAACAACTGAAGTTGCAAAAAGGACAAAGCATTGAAAAGACAGGTTGCAAAGCAATACATGATTCATAAGAGGGAAAAGAACCATCTATTATACAAACCTGCTTAAACATGAGACCAATTCCAGGACGACTCGCTGTAACAAGACGTTCACTGAAGCCCTAAATTGCAAGCAAAAGTATAAAGAAAAGCCCAGAAGGGGGTACAATTTGAAGTACCGAGTAACAAATCTCACATACAGAAACTAGAAAAACGGGCACAAACCTTGCTGAGAGCATTAATTGCCACAATAGCAAATTGGATATTTGCAATTTTCACAGGAAAATCTTCGGAACTTGCAGCTTTTGCCTGCACAAGTCCTGCCTCAATCTGGTACAATCATATCACATGGAAGGAGTGTGAGTACACCTGACCATAAATAATGCCAAAAAGTTTCATGAAACAAGAGAATGGTAGAAATGAAAACCTGTTGACAGAGAGGGGTAAGCAGTAAAGACAGATAATCTGACTGCTTTTCAGCCGGGACATCCTCCAACCCTATGATTATGCCAATAGCCTACAGAAAAACGTAATAGAAGTTAGAGATTTTATTTAAGGTACTGAAAATTTTTCTAGTTTTCCAAGTCAGAAGTACATATATGAAAACAGCAGCTTCAAGTGGCAGTCGAACCTCAAAAATGTGACTGCCATCTTCAGTTCCAGAAAGTTCTCTTGATGCAAAGTTCAAAGTCGTCAACTGGGACAACGTATCTTGAAGGTTCTGATTTCCCACAAAAAGATATAATTAGACAAAAATTAAACAAGCAAATACATCGGATTTACAGAAATGGATAACTGTCTTATGATCAAACGAGCTGCAGACAAGAGAAAATCAAATCCTTACCTGCAGGATCTTGTCAATGAATGGTACAAGCTTTGATTTTAACAATTTCACGACTCTCATGAACAAGTAACCTGCTCTACGGCTCACATGAACATTCTGGTGATGCAAACCCCTTTCATCAAGGAAAGCACCAAGAACATTGGGAATGTACTGGGAATTTTCCTGAATAAACTTCATGTACCTTGTTATGTTTTCTAAGTAAACTAGTGCAACAAGTCTATAAGACTGTCCAGGGAACTGTGTGGTCCAGAGCATCGGAATTAGTTCACTCAAACACCCAGATCCTGCTTTCATGGCCTCCTCGGTCATAGACTCTCCAAATGAATACAAAAGCGAGAGCGCAGCTTCCACTTCTTCAACATTGCTCTCGGATGAGGATCAACAGCATTTGCTAGTGCGTTACGAATAAAATGCTGAGTAACTTCAGGAGCAACACGGCCCACTGTACGTAACAAGACGAAGAGATCTTTTCTAAACTCGGACATTCTATCTTCCTCCTCCAATCCAATTTTATCCAGTAAATTAAGGTTATTACGATACATAGGATCATAGCAAATCTGAATTCTTATCACTTCGAGAATCTGTGTAATGTGGAGTAGCTGCTTCTCCTTTAATGCAGGGAGGCCTTTGAGAGTGGAAACGTAACCCAGGAGAAACTGGACGATGCTAAAAGTAGAATCCACCTCACAATTCCGCATGACATAAAAAACTGATGGCAGAACTTCGTTCAGCAAATCCATGGAGACTGCCTTGGTGTCCTCTGAGTTCAACCGCTTATGGCATTCTAGAACCTCAACAGCATAGCCAGTAAGCAAAGCAGATACTTTTGATACCAATTCAGAATCAACATCTCCGGATACTAAACCAAAAACACGACTTATTTGAAGGGTCTGCAGAAGGGGCAGTTTTGACTGGGGATCCATCCGCTTAGAAACCATGGCTAAAATACACCCAGCTGCTGCACCGCGAAAATGATCAGACAATCCATCAGACAAAATCAATTCAAACAGCAGTGGAACAAATGCATCATTGGCAACCAAACCAATGTCAATCCAAGAGACGAATCTTCTCATGCAATCTAACACAGTAGCAGAAAGATCAGGATCGGAATTCCTGTACAACGATACAATGTCATACCATGCTCTAGCAATCTGAGGGACACATTGTTGCCTCATAGCATCCTTGACTCGAGCAGCCACAGATATCTCTTCAGAAGTCCGGGGGTAATCCAAGCTAATCAACTCATCATCCAACGCATTCAAAACCCGACAAAACATGTCGATCACAACAGCCCCTTTGCTCAAATGAGGCATAAAATCAACAAACACCGAGGACCAAATCAAAGGGTAGTCAAAATAGATCAAAGTAACCAAAACCTGCGCAAGCTTGTTTTTAACAAATGGAGGTCCTTCGACAACTCTAACAGCATTCTCATTATCAATAACCTCCAAACAAGCCATTGAAAACACTGATTTCCTCACATAACTCTGCTCATCCACGCTCATAGATCCGTATCTAACCCTTAAAACATCCTGCAGCGTTTGCAAACACCAGAACTGAACTTGGACAAGCTTAGAAAACCATAACTTCTCAATACATATACTACAAATAGATGTAGTCTCTTTGATTTGCTGACAAAAAGTAACCGCTTGAGACTTTAACGCCGAATCAACAGCACCAGTTTCAAAGCTAATTACTATTGCCTGTTCAAGGTCATCCATAGTTAACCCCACTACAACAACCCTAGAACCGAGATTCAAAAGCCAGCCCTGGTTATAGCATACAAGTCAACAATGCCTTAAATTAGTATCGTCAGCTAGCTTCTCCTTCACCGTTCGTTCTCTTCCCGTATCAGATTTTGATGCGAAGAAGAAGAAGAAAAAGGCGAAACTTTTAGTGGGTTTCGCTTGAAAGCTTACCAGAAGTAAGGATCTTCACGATTATAGCGATCGGATTTATGGGAGTGACAGCTTTAGTAGAGAAAGGGATTTTGGAAACCCTAGCTCGAGTTTCTCTTTGAATTCAAAGAATTTTTTTTATGAGTTTTATAGAAAATTTCCCTTAAGGAAGGATTTATAAATATGGAGAAATTTGTGAGACTGGAGCCGTAGGGTTCTTTTTTTTATACACAGATTTTTATTAGCTTGCAGAAATTTTTCCAAAGAACTATAAATATTATTGCCAGCGAATTGAAAAATTAACCGTCAATAAATCGGCCCATGGGCTTGAATCTCATCTTACGAATTCTGTACTACATGTACAAGTCCTTTGTATTTCTCTTGCCAAATCGAATCCCTCACCCACATTCTTTGGAAACAAATCATTTTTTCAGCTCTCTTTGTTGATCAAGTCGAAATCACTCGCGTATTCACCATCTACAGACTTACAATACAACTTCTCTTGGATAAGCAAGGGTCGAAATCCACAAATTATTTGGATAATAAACTTCATTTACAAAATAAAATCTAACACTTTCAGTTAACGAAATCCTGTACTATTATTTGGGCAGTACAATTTATGGATTACCCTTAATTAACATTCTCATTTATAAGAATTTACTTAAGAATGCCACTAGAAATAAAATTTTATAGAGTAAATTAATTCAACTCATTAGAGATAAACAAGTCAAATACTATTTTATGCAATTTAATTAATTTAATTTAATTATAAAAACGAAAATCTATTATTAATTTCTTTAAAAGAATTACCAATCAAAATGAACATATAAGATTTGATATCTAACTTACCATATTAATTTGTTATTAATCATTATACTTCACCTCTCATCTTTATATGATTCTATTTCTATAAATAAATAAATCATTATATCATCTATATAATAATAAAAAAAAAGTAAATTTTTTTCTGCATATATCAAGATTTGAATTTTTAAAAACGAATATAAATTATTCAATGTATGAAATAACAAATTTAACGGGTCAAAAATTCATATTTGAGTAATTTATTCTTTTTTTTAATATCATCAATATTTAATAGATCAAAATTTTATGAAGTATAAATACTCTAATTTGATTTTTTGAAACAAATATTTATAATAGGCGGCGGGTTGAATATAATATATTATATGATGAAATGAGTTATGATCCTTATAACTATTTGAATATTTATATTTAATTTCATATCATTTTGTTTTTAAATTCATAATTTTACATAATACAATAAAAAAATTTAAAGATTTTAATTTGTAACATTTTAAAATAGTTTAATTTAATATATTAAAGAATATCATAAATATTTAATAGATTAAAAAGATAAAAAAATTATAAATACATTAATTTAAGGGAAATTGTTAAAAATACCCCTTTTGGTGTGCCCCTTTTCAAAAATGCCCCTTTTTAAATCTAAAATTTTTATAAAGTTTTATTAGGTTTATAAGGTACTTATGGATTGTAACTACTACTTGAAGACTCAATCCAAGTATTTATAAGGTTTTATAAGGTGTTTTTAAAGGTTTTACAAGTTATTTTAAAGGATTTTTAAGGTTTTTCAAAGGTTTTACAAGATATTTTAAAGGTTTTTAAAGGTATTTAAAATGCATTTATAAGGTATTTATAAAGTATTTATAAGATTTTAGATACATAGAAATGTAGTTTGTGTATGTTTTAATAATATTACATACATATTTGGGTAAATCTTATATTTTTAAGAGCATTTTTTATAAGGTTTTTTAAAAAGGGTATTTTTGAAAAGTGGCATTGAAAAAGTGGCATTTTTGCAAACCCCTTAATTTAATTTTCTAAAAAGATATGTTTAAAATATTTATAGTAGGCGGCAGGTTAAATGTAATGTATTATATGGTAGAAAGTTATGATCCTTATAACAGACGGCATTTTAAGATTTTATGATGAGATGAGTTAAATAAGGTTTGACACTTCTAAATACTTAAAAATTTGATTCTGCAAGCAATTTTGAAGATAATAAATAATAGATTGTGCCGCAATATTTTCATACGGATTGTAAAATGAAAATATAGACTCCACACACGGATTGAATTTGGTATTATTATATACAAAATATATGTTCATAATATATATGTGAATAATTGGTAAATTCCGTAATTAGCTCAAACAAATCTCTATTTCAACAACCAATGAATCAGAATTTGAAAAAATAATTTCCTAAATTAATTTAAAATAATAGCTAATTTTCTTAAGTAATTCAAAATAATCTACGTTTTAGATGCGATTCATTTATGATATTTTGAATTTTGATCTGACTAAATTATATGCACTCTCATTTTGTGGTTGTTAACATAAATTAATTCATTGTTCAAACAATATTAATTTTTTAAAAAAATAATTTTATTTTCGGTTTTCATATCTTAAAAAAATATCCATAATTGAATACTATAGAAAAAGGAAAATATATTCATTCTAATATTATATATAGGGACTGACAAAAAAATATTATTTTTTCACTTACTATTATAATATATCACAACTTTATTCTAAAACATAAAATTTATAAATTTTGTAATAAATGAAATTCAACCCGTACTGTAGTACGGGTGATGATCTAGTATCATGTATTTGGGTAACAAACTTCCATTAAAGAAATCTCATGTATTTTGGATGACAAATTTACATTTTAAGAAATAAAATCCAACAATTCTTTAAATATGCTAATATCTTATATATGATAAAACTTCTTATAAAAGTATATACTATATAGAAGATTTTCTTTAATATTTTAGAGGGGCTATTGTTTTACTTGGCTTTTAGAATATTTGTTACCATAAATTGTTTGTTATTTTCCAAATAAATATCTGTACCGAAAAGAATTTAAATTTTTCTCAGGAAGAAGAAAAAAAAAAAAAAAAAAAAAAGGAGGATAAATAGCTAGGCAAAAAGAAAATGCCCAAATAATAATTAAAGGTTTGAACTTTGAACCAAAAGAGGTAACTTTAAAATAGTAGACATGTATAAATGTTTGTGAGTTATATGTTATAGCAGATAGTGTTCTTAAAGTTTCTTAATCAAAAGTTTTATAAAAACAAATCTATATATATAATTAGAGAGTCTTCTCTCCATCTAAGGTGTCCACCTAAGCATCCACCTAAGCAATAATATTTATTTTACATTAAAATCAATTTAAAACATCCATTTAATGCATTTACTTGTAATTAATAGAAATAATAAATTTTAAATAAATAAAAAACGAATTATGTAAAATAAATAAAATGTTAAAATAAGAAAATAATACTATAAAAAGAGAAATTGTTAAAAATGCTCTTTTTTCAATACCCCTTTTCAAAAATGCCCCCTTTGATAGTCCATTTTTAAGTTTGCCCTCTTTTAATTTTTAATGACCATTTTACCCTTATTTGAAACAAAATTAGGTCCACAAAATACAAAATATTTTTTGGCGGGAAAAGTGATCCCGCAATTTTCCCGCCAAAACACTTGTAAAAACCTTTAAAATACCTTGTAAATTTTTCCCGCCAAAAATTTTCCCGCCAAAAAAATTTTGCAAAAAAAATTGCAGAGTATTTACAAGTGTTTTGTAAGGTTTTACAATGTATTTTAAAAGGTTTTACAAGGTACTTATAAGGTTTTATAAGGTATTTATAACTTGTAAAACCTTATAAAAAACTTGTAAAACCTTATAACTTGTAAAAACCTTATAAAATAGCTTGTAAAATCTTATAATATCTTATAAATACCTTGTAAATACGTTGTAAAACCTTTTAAAATACATTGTAAAACCTAATAAATACCTTGTAAAAAACCTTTAAAATACCTTGTAATTTTTTGGCGGGAAAAAGATATGTTTAAAATATTTATAGTAGGCGGCAGGTTAAATGTAATGTATTATATGGTAGAAAGTTATGATCCTTATAACAGACGGCATTTTAAGATTTTATGATGAGATGAGTTAAATAAGGTTTGACACTTCTAAATACTTAAAAATTTGATTCTGCAAGCAATTTTGAAGATAATAAATAATAGATTGTGCCGCAATATTTTCATACGGATTGTAAAATGAAAATATAGACTCCACACACGGATTGAATTTGGTATTATTATATACAAAATATATGTTCATAATATATATGTGAATAATTGGTAAATTCCGTAATTAGCTCAAACAAATCTCTATTTCAACAACCAATGAATCAGAATTTGAAAAAATAATTTCCTAAATTAATTCAAAATAATAGCTAATTTTCTTAAGTAATTCAAAATAATCTACGTTTTAGATGCAATTCATTTATGATATTTTGAATTTTGATCTGACTAAATTATATGCACTCTCATTTTGTGGTTGTTAACATAAATTAACTCATTGTTCAAACAATATTAATTTTCTTAAAAAATAATCTTATTTTCCGTTTTCATATCTTAAAAAAAATATCCTTAATTGAATACTATAGAAAAAGGAAAATATATTCATTCTAATATTATATATAGGGACTGACAAAAAAATATTATTTTTTCACTTACTATTATAATATATCACAACTTTATTCTAAAACATAAAATTTATAAATTTTGTAATAAATGAAATTCAACCCGTACTGTAGTACGGGTGATGATCTAGTATCATGTATTTGGGTAACAAACTTCCATTAAAGAAATCTCATGTATTTTGGATGACAAATTTACATTTAAAAAAATAAAATCCAACAATTCTTTAAATATGCTAATATCTTATATATGATAAAACTTCTTATAAAAGTATATACTATATAGAAGCTTTTCTTTAATATTTTAGAGGGGCTATTGTTTTACTTGGCTTTTAGAATATTTGTTACCATAAATTGTTTGTTATTTTCCAAATAAATATCTCTACCGAAAAGAATTTAAATTTTTCTCAGGAAGAAGAAAAAAAAAAAAAAAAAAAGAGGATAAATAGCTAGGCAAAAAGAAAATGCCCAAATAATAATTAAAGGTTTGAACTTTGAACCAAAAGAGGTAACTTTAAAATAGTAGACATGTATAAATGTTTGTGAGTTATATGTTATAGCAGATAGTGTTCTTAAAGTTTCTTAATCAAAAGTTTTATGAAAACAAATTGTCACATAACAACCCACCTAATTTTTGGCTGTCAGCTTGGAACACAATTTCCTTTTCTATCTATAAGCAACCTATGCATTATATTAAACGAAACAAGACATCACTTACTCTTTTGTGTTGTATCATATTTTGTGTCTCTGTTTTCAAAGGTTAAACTGTCACATTATCAGCTTCCATAAGGAATTTTACGAAATAGCTTCACAACGCATAGCCAAACACTCCAGCTATATCCTTTAGATTAATCCCCGCTTAAATTGTGATACATGTCTTGTGATGTGAGCGCAACATGCAAATCTTTTTATTAGTATGAGTCTAATTACCCACACTTAAAAACTAGCCCATAAGTGGAAGATTGCCACTAGAGCCGGCACTAGCCACAAGCTAGGGAGGCATGTGTTTGTGGCCCCAGATGTAGTTATTAATATATCGGCCCTCCTTTTACTAAAATTCTCTTATAGCTCAACTTGTTAAATGCTGGCCAGAAGGAAGTGCAAGGTTGAGGGTTCGATTCTCACACTTGCAGTAATGCTTTAACAATTTTTTTGAGAAGAAATTAGGCCTCTTTTTTTTTCTAAGCTTGTGGCCTTCAAAATGTTAGAGCCGGCTCTGATTGCCACACACTTATATATTACTCAGAAAATCATCTCATAATTTCATACTTAGATAATTTATACTTAAGCTTCTCCATCGCAGTTACAACCTTATTTAAACAGATGTTCAGTCTATTATTTATCTGAAGAAATATCCTTGCGAGTTGCGACGCATTGTTCTTTTTAGTTAAGTTTAGTAACAAATCCGAAACTATACTATTGAAAGAAAAACATACTAAAATAAATGTCTTATTGTCTAATTAACATATCGAAAATAAAAGATATCCGAAATTGGAGACTTTTAAACCGCTGTTATGTGATAATACTATGGAAAAGAGAATCAAATATATAATATCAAAGAACCAAAAGTCTCATTATTGTGTGTCATGTGTATCTCCCGATATATACATATAGATCAAAAAGATCTGAGGGAAAGTGGGCACAATACTCTATAGAAGTCAGATGCAAGTGCCCCAGAAAAGAAATGTGAAAGAGTGAAAGAGAGAGAAACTTCCTCTTCCTTTCTTTCATGCTTACGACAAAACTTCACCGCCACCTGTTTTGTCTCAAATCTTTTTCCACTTTTTTTAATAATATAATTTATTATACTAACTACACATGCAAGGTAACTCTAAATGTTTTAGACTTTGAAAAACATTAATGTATTCACATATAAAACATTATAAACATATAAAGCCCGAAACCCTATATATATATAAACTAAGAGCGAGAAAGAAAGAAAAAAGCTAGAGAGAGAGAGAGAGATGAACAAATGGTTGGGGTTTTCATTGACACCTCCTTTGAGAATCTGTGATAGTGAAGAAGAGCACGAAGAAGAACTCAGACATGACGGTTCCGATGGTTCTGATCCTCTCACACATCATCCCCGTGGTATATATAATATATATGTTGTTGGTGTGCCTTTTAATATTCTTAATTTGATTTCGATGTGTAGTTTGGGGATATGATATTAACCTTGATCATCATCATCATCATCAACATGATGAAGTGCCAAAGGTGGAAGATTTGCTCTCAAACTCTCATCAAACCGAGTATCCTTTGACCAATAACCAAACCAATGTCAACAGCACCACCGTGGTTAACAGATTAAACCCACCCGGTTACCTTCTCCACGAGCAAACCGTAGTTACACCACAATACCCGAACCTAGATCCAAACCTAACCCATGATTATGGAGGTTTTGAGAGGGTCGGTTCGGTCTCGGTTTTCAAATCTTGGTTAGGGCAAGGCACTCCAACATTTCAACTCTCGAGTACTTACGTCACTGAAGAGGGTGGTACGAGCAATAATATTAGTCATTTTAGTAACGAAGAGATTGGTTATAACACCAATGGCTCGATGCTATCATTGGCTTTGAGCCATGGGGCTTGTTCTGATTTGATCAACGAAACGAATGCATCTGTAGTGCCGGTAGAAGAACCGGTTAAAATAGATGAGAAGCGGAAGAGATTGACTGGCAAATCTCAGGTGAAGGATTTGGTTCCTCGGAAGTCGGTTGATAGTTTCGGACAAAGAACTTCTCAGTATCGTGGAGTTACAAGGTACGTACGTTATTAAATAATGATGTCTCAAACTAATTTTTTGTTTTGTTTTAAATGATGTCTCAAACTTACACGTAAGAAAAATGTGAATGCCACAATTATGTATATATGTCATTTTATCTTGTAGTTTATGCAATTGTGTCGACACATATTTAATCTGTGCGTGTATACAGGCATAGATGGACAGGGAGATATGAAGCTCACTTATGGGATAATAGCTGTAAGAAAGAGGGACAGACAAGGAAAGGAAGACAAGGTCAGAAAAAAACAAATACAAATAATTTTCCGATTCATAATGCTATCATCAATAATTTTACTAACAATTAATAATTTTGTTTCGTATGTACTTTCTCATTCGCTTCTTGATCAATGACAGTGTATCTTGGTAAGTGCAAAATTTTATTTCAACGACCCTTATTAATGTCGTGTTGCCCTAGTTTTGGTCTGAAGTATAATAAGCTCTTTATATATTTTCTTATGATATAATTAAGAAAAATAAATGTAATAGTAAAATTCATACTTAAAGAAATACTACAACAGGAGGGTATGATGATGAGAAGAAAGCAGCGAGGGCTTATGATTTAGCGGCTCTGAAGTATTGGGGTCCTACCACTCACTTAAATTTCCCTGTGAGTTTGATCTATCTGGTCCCGGACCTCCACTTCTTTAACTTCTTTATTACATGCAAGTGTGTTTTATCACTTTTGTATATGTACAACGTAACAGTCTTACTTAGTTTCCATATTTGGATCTTGAATGTAATTATGTTACGATTTTATTGACTTGATTTTGATGGAACTACATAGATTTTTTTTTTTTTTTTTTTGGTAAACTGAACTGCATAGAGTCGGCTTGTGATATCAGTTCTTTTGACGCTCCTTTATTCAGTTGAGTAATTACGAAAAGGAGATCGAGGAACTCAATAACATGAATAGGCAAGAATTTGTTGCCATGCTGAGGAGGTAACTATATATACTCAACAGTGGGATTGTAATGAAATTTATGGCCTCTGTAGTTACTTACTTAACCAATGCTTTGTAATGAAATTCTCATATCATAGGAACAGTAGCGGGTTTTCGAGGGGAGCTTCCATTTACAGAGGAGTTACAAGGTTTGCTTTGGAGATATATATATATATATATAAGGGAAACTTGTATATATATATATACTTATGGCATTTGAGCATACATGTACGTGGAATTAAGGATCATCATGATCATGCATGTATAACTCATGCAGGCATCATCAACATGGAAGATGGCAAGCTAGAATTGGAAGAGTTGCTGGAAACAAAGACTTGTACCTTGGCACATATAGTATGAACCACTCCACTACTTTATATATGGCTTAAATAACATTACATATCTCGTAGCTTTTGAATTGTTAAATATCACATTTTGTAACTATGATGAAGGCACGCAAGAAGAAGCAGCAGAGGCGTACGATATCGCGGCAATTAAATTCAGAGGCCTAAACGCTGTAACTAATTTCGATATTAACAGATATGACGTGAAGAGGATATGTTCAAGCTCTACGATTTTCAATAGCGACCAGGCCAACCGTTCTCCCACCAGCTCTGGCTCCGGCCAATAACGACCACCGACACCATGAAACTCCTCGCCGTAGAGACTATTCCCACGGTTGGTTTGAGGAACCTCTGATTTAAATATATATAAGTTCGTCGAGTCTGTTTAATAAACATTCCTAAGTAAGGCATATAATTATATACAACATTTTAGCAAATTAGGTTATCATACTACTTGAGTCTCGTATTTATTTACAATTGAAAAGTTAATGCATCCACTATTTACACTCCATGACAAAAGTGTTAATTAGTAGTATTTCCTAACTGGACCAAGTGAAGGAGAGACGATTCCTCAATTTGTGTGCCTTCTTCTGTCGTGGTCGTACTTAAAGAAAAAGCGTTACAAAGTGAAACCGTAACTTACTAAACTCACAATCGAATCCGTCAGGCCAAGCCTTTGATTTTGAACACGTATCAAGCTAGTTATAAATCACATATATAAGCAGCGTATAGTGGATCAAGGTTTTCGGATTTTTGTAGTCATGTCTGAATTGTTTCTTACATAACATAAATATTTGTTGAATCTTAACTAACTTACTTCACTCATAATCGAGTCCGTCCAACTTGGATACAATTACATAAATGCATGTACGTTGCATTGCATGCATATAAATACATGTATAATTCATAATAAGAATGAGAATACATGTTTTTTTTTTTTTATATATAACCCAGGTGTCCGGTTTTACCGAAGTGGCCCGACTAGCGTCGTGTCCAAGCGGAGCTGACGTGGTCCTGGAAGACTGCAACCGTCATGTGAATTCTGCAGTGACCAGAAATCGAACTCAGGTAGCGGTACCCCAGCTAGAGGCCCTTTACCACTAGGAGACAACTCCTTGTTAGAATACATGCTTTGCTCGAAACCAAATCCTAATTCCTCAATGCAACGCAATTTGGCCACATGCATGCATACATTCGAGTCTAGCTAGTAGTTTATATACATATGTCTGTGTATGTGAGTACATGGTATATCAAACTTTAAATATCTTTTTGATGACGAATGTGTAGCTTTAATTTATTAAATCGGTAAATGATTTCATCAGAATCCACTTTACTTGTGTTTTTTCCAGCGCAGCACATTTCGCTCAATTATTACTGTAAAGTTTAATGCAAGTGTCAATTAGACCATTCTTATTGGGAGGTCCTTAGCTTAGTTCTTAGCTCATGAGTGATTAAAATTAAAGGTTGAAATGTTGATTTTCTAAGGAATGGTTTTTAGTTAAGAGCAAAAAATTGGCTTAAGAACCAAAACTAAGGCCTCCCCAATAATGTTGCTCTTACAGCTTCTATAAACCCGCCATCAGTAACTTTTAAGAGCATCTTCATTAGACAATTCTTAATGGTTGTCTTTAGTATAAATTAATAATAAAATTAAAGACATTCCCCTTTTTGGGTATGTAAAATGTCTCTAGGAAGACACAAATCTATAATTAAAGACACTCTCTACTTTATTTTTATATTTTTATTAATTTTATATTTAAAGACACTCACAAATAAATGACCAATGTGGGTGCTCTAAGTTCTTTCATAGCTGTAAAATTAGTTTCAAAGCCAAAAAAAAAAGATAATCAATAATTATTTTTCTTCTAAAAGCTTCAATTCAACTGTTTTATTAGGATTTCATCATTTATTTTTTCAGTATGTATATTATAGATACAAAAATATGTGTATCTGAAAATATTAAGTTCGATATATTAATATACAATCACATATATATTATAGATTTAACAAAAACAATTTAAGTCATATATTTAATTTTTAGTTTCGGATCCAAAGACTACGCCAATCGAATCTAGCTTCTTGGTATGGAAGAGACACACGTAATGGTATAAAACTTAACATTCTTTATAAAAAAAAAACTTATTACTAACTTCAAAACACACAGAAATTGGAATCTCTCATCTGCAATCATAAAAGATGGGCCTAAACGAATAGATCCAAAACGGCCCGAATCAAACGACCCACCCGGATCCCTTAAAATAATAGTAACTCTTCGTTCCTAATTTAAAAACATGGATCTCTCCTTTCTTCTTCAATTCATTTTACGTTACTCGTTCGTTCTTCAGATTCGCTTCTCTTTCTTTGCAGTTCGCGAAAACCTAATTTCATAATTCTGAGATTTTGAACTCAATCCCAATTTCGAGATTACTCGAATCCACTTGAAATTTCTCAGCTTGTTCTTTAATTAGAGTTCTATTAATGGAAACGCCATTACAAAGTTTGAGACTTTTTCTTCTCTGCTTCGTCTTCTTCTTCATCTCTGCTTCTATCTTCGTCGACTCACAATCACAAGAGTCTTCCATTACTCCTCCTCCACCACCGCCTCCGCCATTCTTAAATCCACCGCCGCCTCCATTAAGGGTCGTTGAGAGTAACAAGGCGATTCACGAGAAGCGAAGAAAAAAATGGCGACAGAGAAGACACCATAAACACCCACCACCGCCGCAGCAGAAGCTGAACATGGGAAAGACGGTGGGGCTTTTCTTCGCCGCTGTAGCTGCAGCTTTGCAAGTAGTTGTTGCTGCTTTCTTGCTTTTCAAAAGAAGGCAGCTTCTCCTTAAGATCAATGATAGACACTGAGTGAGAGATTCCAAGCTTCTCCAATAGGCATCTTCTTCTTCCCGATCTAGAAAAGAGCTTCAAGTTGGAGTTAAGTCAATCTCAATTTTGTTCCTCTTAAATCTGTAAATTTATTATAGTCTTTGACTGCAACTCAAAATTTGTTCTTTAGATATGAGTGAATCCAGTGGAAAAACTGAATTTTGGGGATGATTGTTGATGAAAGTTCTCAAATTTGATGATACATTTGTTGAACAACTACCATTGTGTTGTTAATTCCCAGCTATAGATCTAACTTAGCCTACACATGAAGTCTCCTTTTTGTATGGTCCTTTAGGGTTAATAATGTCATACATATCATTTAGAATAATTGCAGAGGACCGATCTAAACTTATGCAGTTGGGACCACTGAAACCCATGTGAGAGTCTGGTCCTTAAAGTTTGCAATTTTTTTGGATTTTTTTCTAAATTGGAAGGTTCACAGAGGTCAATGCTTAGTTTTAGCTAGTGATATGAACGAACTCAGGATCTTAAATATGAAAAACTCACATACAATGTTACAATTTTGACAGGTTTTGAAGAATTACACGGCACACAAAACAGAGAAGACAAGAATCAATCAAAGAGAAAAGAAGAAGAAGAAACAGGTTTTGGTGTTTTAGTCAAGGAGTCCTAAGTCTTTTTTTAGCCAGTTCCTCCAAGTACACCCTTTAGCTTCTTGACTGTAGTAGCGTCAAGGAAAGTAGTACCCACCACAAGTTCAGTGGGAAGACTGTTAGCAAAGAGTGCGAAATCGAGAATCTGCAGACCCGGATTAGCGCTGTTGAAAGTCACAACGGCTGCTGCAGAGGATTTTCCTGCGTTGATCTGGAAATGAAGCAAGCCCTGTGGGAAAATCATGACCTGTCCTGGTTTAAGTGTCTGCACGTAGACTGCGTTTGCAGAGGAGACAAACCCAGCGGTAATGGAGCCGGAAAGGACATAGAGAACCTCAGATGCACCAGGGTGAGTGTGCATTGGAATCACACCTTTAGGAGCTAGGTCAAGTCTAGCTGTAGAGAGGCCTAGACCGTTCAGACCCGGGAACTGAGCGGCGAAAGCGGGTGTGACAGCGGCGTTGATGATGTTTGTAGTGTTTCCAGGAGTGCCTAAGCCGGAGAAGACAAAGTCTGTAGCTTTGACATGAATGGGACGAATGCACGGGTAACCCGCAGGGGTTTCAGCGCGTTTCAGGTTTGCGACACAGAAATCTTGAACAGAGGCATTGGATAGAGCAAAGAGAAGAGATAAGAGGAAGATAGTACGCATCATTTTTGAATGATTGGTTTAAGAACTAACTCTCTTCTTTTCTTTTCTTTTTTTCTCTACTCTTCTCGAGTGTTTATATAGAGAGGTGTTGGATAAACTGTGTGGTGAACATTCGAAAGACGGAGATAAGCTTTTGGAATCCATTATGGACGTCGAAGAACAAGGACCACTCTTAGAAACAAACAAAATGGCTCTTTTCTTTGCCTGCCTGTTCTGCATCATTTAGATCGCTGTATTGATGATGTAGACACTGAAATTTATTATTGGTCGAAGAAGATATTCCGATTTTTATCTTAGATTAAGCCGTTGATTTCGGACTGCGGGGTCAAGGGTTTTGAGAAGAACAGAGAGTAGACAAATTAAAATACATCAAGCTCAATTTTCTTTTCTTTCTTGCGGATTTAACTTGTTGCTTAAGTAAGTAGAAGAGAGCAACTCACGTCCATAAGACAGACACGTCTAACTACACTGGGTTGGGTAGTTAGAGACTTATTAGAGATATTATGAGTGAAGAAGAGCCAAAGATAAGATTTTGTAACAAGTTGGGTTAAAGTTGACGTAGAGAATACGAGGAGACGATGTGAATACGAATGTGTTGTTACGTAGTGTGGACCAGTGACACATGTGACGAACCATTAAAAGACACTATTTGACAGCCAGAAGAAGCTTAACAAAGATGTCGACAAAAAATACAAATTTAAGAAAGATTCTTATAAAGATCCGTTTTTTCTTTTTTTTTTTTGGCTAAACGTACAACAGTGGTATCTTTCTCTGTTAAACCATTGTGAATGAATATATTGACAATTATGGGCTAAAAGATACGACATTGACCCAAAAATTATAACAAATAAATAGGCTTTGGCCCATAACTGAGGTTTTGGCGGGAAAGATTAGTTATTTAGTTACAGTTTTGTGAAATATGTCAGTCTAGCTGTCGAAAGAATAACATGCATTTTGCCACACGTTAACTTTCACCAATGAAACCAACAACTGCAACGATTATTTTACTCAATTCAATCAGACCGGACTAAACCGAACTAGACCGGTAGAGATTTAAACGGCTCTGTTTTTCTAATTTTAATCATAACCGATTCTCTCTCAAAGACACACACACATGCACAAGCACCACCATATTTTGAGAAGATCATCACCACTGCAATGGCGTCAATGAAACTCGTTGTTCATATTCTCCGTCGATACATCTCCATCGCAATAACTCTCTTCTATAGCCTCATTTGGTGTTTATTCGACAATTTCGATTACCCGATCCTAATCAAACTCGCTGATACGTTCTTATCTTTATATTTCCTAATCTTCTGCGATCTCCGTCCAGTAACCGTCGATTTAAACGATGGAGAAACCACATTACATTTCTGGATCTCCGGCCACCGTAAAACCAACCGCCCAAACCTCCTCATGCTACACGGTTACGGAGGAAATTCGAAATGGCAATTTATTCATCAAGTTTCAGATCTATCGAAATCGTTTAATCTCTTTATCCCCGATCTCATGTTCTTCGGGAAATCGTACTCGAAAAATACCGATCGGAGCGTCGAGTTTCAGGCGAGGAGTATCGTCGGAGGTTTGAAGAGGTTAGGCTGTGGTGAAGGAGATTTGTCGGTTTACTCTATTAGTTACGGAGGATTCGTCGCGTATCGGATTGCGAAGATTTGGCCGGAGATGATTGAGAAACTGGTGATTGTGAGTAGTGGAGTTGGGTTTACACAACAACAAAAGATGACGGAGATGAAAAAACACGGCGGAGATGTATCGGAGATTCTTGTTCCGAGTAATCCGAGAGATCTCCGGTTGTTAGTTAGGGTTTCGATGAATACAGGTATCAGATTTCTTGACTGGGTTCCAGATTTCATCCTCTCCCAATTCATCGCTGTGAGTTCTGTTTTCTTTTGTTTATTACTGATTCTGCCCCGTAATTTAACTTTTGTTCAAACTTTGACCCTTACGTTAGCAAAATTGCATAATTAGTCCTTGAGTTTCAAAACTTATAGGTGATGTATGAGACAAATCGGCAAGAACTTGTTGATTTAGCTAAGAATTTGTTGGAAAGAGAAGAGGAGCCAGATTTTTTTGCAATATCACAGGTCATTTGATAATTTGTTATCCATAAAAATTGTTTAAACTGAATAATTGTAGTAATTGAATTATTTGTTTGGTGTTGTTAATATTCAGAAAACGTTAATCGTTTGGGGTGATAAGGATAATGTGTTTCCCTTGGAGCATGGACGGCGTCTACAAAGGTAAACATGATACTAACAAAATTCTATAACAATTTTTGTCATAGAAACTAAATCTCTCCTTTTTTGTATAAATGGTGACTTTATTATTAACATATTTTTTTGGCAGGAATTTACCAAATTCGAGTTTAGAGGTATTGAAGGAAATTGGACATGGTGTGAACATTGAAGCACCAACTACTCTTAATAATTTGATTATCTCGTTTGTTTTAGGTGCTCCTTAACTTCTATAGTTGTATATCTTTTAATTTATACTAGATTTTAACCCGCGGTACACCGCATGATGATTTAGTTTTAAAGTTAGTATAAAAATATTTTGTAAATTGTATATCTTTATAACATATTTATTTATATTATAGTTTACAATTGTTATTAAGTAACGGTATACCACGAGTCCACGAGACAATTATTAATAAACTGAGAATTTAACCCGTATTAAAGCGGTATATAAATATTAATTCAAATTCGTTCGTCATATAAATCTTTTCTGAAATATAACTCGTTCCGTAATTTCTTAACCCGTCCCGTAATTTGTTTTTATTTTAAAATTTAATGATTATTTATTATATATAAAAATTTATAAATCATATCATTCTCTAAGACATTTATATTTTAATAAACTAAAGATTTAATATGTATTAAAGCGGCATGTTAATGATATTTAAAATTTTATAAATATTGTTATTAAGTAACATTATACATGGGATAATTTTTGGTTTTATACAATCTTTTCTAAATTAGGCTGATTTAATATGTCTAATATTGGTGGTATTAAAAAAAATAAGGATTTAATCCGTATTGAAGCGGCGGATTAATGATATTTTAATCTTTTTATTATTGTTGATTCACAAACCCGTTCCGCCAAACCCGTCCGGCCAAAAAACTCATTTATTTTATTAATGTTGATCTTATTTATGATATGATTCTGAATCATTGTCTAAATATTTTAATCGATGTAGAACGTTGAACACACATTTTCGTCAATTAGATAATATATGTCCGTTTTTAAAATTTCGAATCACAGTATATACAGAAAAAAATTGATTTTTTTTTACTTTATGTATTATATTATTATTCAAAACACTTAAAAACAAATCAAACAAAGATGACAAGAGAATCATAATTCTAAATATTAATCAAATCTTCTAAATATCTAAATTATTAAATATAGAATATCCGGTGTATGAGTTGGGTTAAATATAACCCGACCCAACAGATTTTTTGTGAAAGATTTTAAAAAACGGGTCAGATATCCGATTAACCCAGAAGTATTTTTACCCACCCGTCACCAAAGTGTTGCAAAAATACTAGTATAGATATATTGTTTATACCAAAAGGAAATAATATATATAATGTATGATCCGAAAATATTCAACTGGCGCGAAACAACCGGTCAAAATCATAACAAACTACGCAATTACAGTGCATTGGGGTTGGGATAAGAAAAATTGTATTCCAAGGCACATTTCATGAGTCATGCATGAGTCATGACTGCTTGTCAAACTACCTCCGAGGACCTCAACCAGTTGCGGTACATTGGATCGTCTCGGGCTGGGTGGTTCTTATGAATAACGAAGACTTAACCATACGTCTCACCAACATGCTCCACCCCAACAAAGGCGACATCTATGATCTATCTGCCTCGGCTTCCTTCTCCTCTCAATCCTTGTTTTCCCCTGCCCGTAAGTAACATGGTGCAGAGATTCACTCTTCTATCTCACGCCTAACACCGAGTTTATTGAATATAATGTGACCGGTGACCCATCGTTGAAGAACACTGAGTCCCTTCCCCCAACTTATTTCCAGCAATCCGGACCTCTTGAACTACCTAATATGGCAGAGTTGGAGTTGTTTGCATGGTGCGTCCGAAGCAAGCAATTGGTAGAGTCACCTTCCCATGACTTCTTCCTCTTCACATGGTGCACTGAGTTCGAGTCTGAAGGGAAACCAATCCCTTTTTGGGAGTGTGAGAAGAAAAAAAAAAAAAGTTGAAAAACTATAACGTGAAAACCAAGGGGTTCATAGTGTATAGACGAGACATTGACAGAGGGGTGGAGTGTTACTCCGAGGACATTGGAGATCTTTGCAATTTTTTTTGGTATGAACGAGGGTTTTTGTGTCAAAGCGAGCAAGTACCGCAGCGTCAAACCCAAACTCTACTTCATCGACCACCATCGTGTTTATCGCTACAATATCTCGTCCCACAGGTCAGCCCAAGAAAAATACTCCTCGTGTTTGATGGCTTTAGAAACACTCATCTATCCAACCAAGCTTGGTCCGGTTCAGTGGGTGCGCTTGTGTAGTTGTGTGTTTATGCGTGAGTAGCTCTTTTTCCCTTGATACCACAGTCCCAAGACTTTTCGCTTAGACTTAAAAATTCCACATTATATTCTAGTGGACGTTTTTCTCCAATTTTCAATGAGGAACAAAATTACTTTTGTTAAATTTTGTGTATTTTATGCAACCAATTTTGGAGTCACTTATTTTTTTCATTTAAAAAAACTTCAATTTATCAAAATTGTTCTTTGTTTTCTCATTTTTTTCATAAGTATTTTGAACTACTTATAACTATCCGAAATACTCAAATCCCAATCCAACTTTTACCCGATCTAATAAAATTTTGAATAATTATATTCAAATTATCCATATTCTACATGTTATTCAAATTATCTGACCGAATTTCTTAAAATACACTTTCAATAATAACAAGATAATTATTTTAGATATATTAATTACGACCTCTAGTCACTATTACTTGAAATAAACAGTCCTAATAAGACGTAACGAATAAAACAAAAGATATGGGTCGAGTCACAATAATCCGGCTCCAGATGTCTGACAGTGCATGGCACAACTTTAACCTCCATAACTCTGCAAATTAAAGATGCAGAGAGTAAGTACAACCAAAAAAATCTTTATTTTTCCAAAAGAGTTATTAAAAAGAAAAAGAAAAAGATAAGAACATTTATATATATTCCCCTCAAATCTCTCTCTGTCTCAAACTGTTTGTCTACAGACGACAAGTAGATTCCTTTTTCTTTGCTTTCTCAGCATCCAATAATTGTCATGTTATTTCTCCATTTTAATTCTTGTTTGTTTATTTCCCGAGAAAATTATCTTGATTTCCTCATCCACTTCCTCTTCCCGGAGCTTGTTTTTTTTTTGAAGGTAAGAAAACTGAGTTTAGAGCAGAAAAATTCTCTCTTTTTTCTTTCTTACTTGTAGAAAAATCTTGCTTTGCTTTTTTGGGTTCATAGATATGATTCTTTTGGTTTCTGGGTCTTAAAAATTTATAGAATTTTATGAATCTTATGGAATCGGTTTCTACTTTTGTTGAGATTATCTCACTATAGGTGAAGGCTACTTATAGAAGAATCAGCTATTACTTCTCTTTTTTTTTTTTTTTTAATCTATATATAGATCTCTTTTTATCCTGAAAACGTGTTTGGTGTTTTGTCCGAAATTGAGGGTTCTTGAGATTGAAATGTAACTGAGAAAAAAAGAAAAAGAATTTTATCTTTTGCTTTGTGTTACTTTAAAAGTGAGATCAAGAGTTTATAGACAAGGTCAACGGAAGAAGAATAAAACACTTGTTTAATGTTAGTTTTGTTGCAATTGTAGAACAAGATCAATATTCAAGATTTGAGTTTGATGGAATCAAGAATGGAAGGAGATGTGTATTCTGGATTTGGAGAGAGATACCAAATGGATGGTAAATTGTTGCAGAATTTCCAGAAGAGCTTTGTTCAAGTTCAAGACATTCTTGATCAAAACCGGCTTTTGATCAACGAGATCAATCAGAACCACGAGTCCAAACAAGCTGATCACTTGGGAAGAAATGTGGGTTTGATAAGAGAGCTCAATAACAATATCAGAACAGTGGCAAGTCTTTATGGAGATCTCTCTCATTCTTTCGCTAGGTCGATTGATGCTTCATCTGAAGGAGAATCTACCGGGACATTGAAATCTGATGGCAAGGCCAACAACCAGAAGAGATTTAGATCCGGGTAATATAACCAATCTTGATTTTGTAGATTCAAAGCTAATTTGATTGTGGATTAAGGAGTGTGTCATGTTGTTGTTGTTGTGGTGGAACAGTTATGACATTAATATTGTGCTTTTCTTAAGGGTCTTCAATAGTTTTGCTTATGCAATTTCTCTTGAAATGTTATCTACATAATGTTTATGTCTTTGATTCTGAGATAATAAAAGAAGTTTTTCTTTTGTTAGATTTGACATATCTCTGAAATTCAAGTTCTGCCACCAACTGATATATTTATGACAAGTTAATAATTATACCCTTGGACTAATAAAATTCCTCTAATCATCCTGTGATTGCCTTGGTTCTAGAATTGACATGTAAACCATATTTTTGCAGTAACTCAAAATTTAGCAATGTTCATCTGAAACTTTATTAGCTTAAAATAAAGTAAAAAAACTCTACCAAAATAAGAAAAAGAAAAACATGAAAGTGTACTAAAGTCTGATCTAGCAAAAGAAGATGATTATCCTCGTTGCCTTTGTGCTTGCATGATCCTCTAAAGTCAAAAAGACAACAGAGACTTGTAGTTTTAACTTTAGTTAGGTACTTTTATTATTCCTTATCTTTTTTCTCCATTTTTACACAAGTTTCAAGTTGTTTTACAACACAAAACTTCTCTTTACCTTTCTTTATTTGTTTATTTGGCTTTTGGACAAAAGAATCCAGCCAACTTTTTGGTTCACTTCACCTTTAATAATCAATTTCTTGGCTCACATCCATTTTCCAATCAACTTTCTTTTGGATATTTTATGAAACTATGAAAGTGAAGGAATGTATATGGTCTTTGACAAAAAAAAAAAAAAAAAAAAAAAAAAAAAAAAAAAGGAATGTATATGGTAGGGTCTCCATACTAATAGAAAAACAAATTATTTGATGAGTTCAAGAGGAGAATAATTTAACTTTACAAGCATCTAGAGACCCATATCAAATATAAAGGAAGGAATTTTCTTATCTTCATCAACAAAAACATGTTGTTACATATAGACAATGATGTCTGACTAAAGAAAATGAAGAAACATGTAGACAATGATGATGTATAATGTGATTGTTCTGTTCATCTCAGCTTTGAAGCTTACTTCTTGTCACTCTGTCTCTGCATCACTTTCATCAACTGTCCTTCCCAGTCAGATACAACTTCTTCTCCATTCGTAACCTGACCGAATCAGAAGCCTCATCTCATCAGTAACAAATGCTTCTTTGTATAGGAAGCAGCATCAATAAAATGTTATAATTCTACCTCAAATATCAACCCTGTTGGTGGGATCACACTTAGCGCTTCAACGCATATACGAGCAGCATCTTCCTTGCTTATGCTTCCTTTAGCTGCAGCACCCTGTTTCATTCATAACAATGTTGTCTAAAGTTTAAACCCAAGCGGTGGAGTCAACACATATTTTGTCTTCTCTATTATAAGATGAATTTACCGCGTTAAAGTTGAAGCCTTGATTCCCTCCAGGACTGTTCTCCAGCTTGCCTGTTCTTATGATTGTATAAGGGACATTCGAAGATATAACAGCGTTTTCATCTTGCTCGGCCAGTTTTTTGGCTTTGTTATTCATCATAGCTTGAATACCGCCGCTGCTTTCATAAACAGACAACTGCAGCTTCATTAAACCATGATCTCACAGCCACACAAAAAAAAACAATTCCAACTTCCAAGCCTTGCAAGATTGTTGCTAGTACATCACCAATAACTGTCTAATCCTCATTATTGGAATTGAGTACGACAAGGACAAAAGTCATGGAGATTGTATTCTTACCTGAGACAGGAGAACTGCATGTTTTACACCTCTAAAACTCTTGACATTCGGTAAGAAACCTTCCTGCCAAGGAAAGAACCTCATGTTTTAGATCAATGTACAATTCGATCTATAAGAATGATGAAGGGTTTGGTTAAACATACAGTCGGGGATATGACTGCACCAACGCCCTTAAAAGCTTTCTTTAAGAAACGCTCGTCGCTTGCATCTCCAGAGGTCAACTGAATGTTTGCCAAAGTGAAGCTAAACAACAGATAGAACCAAGAGTATACATGTATTCAGTGAACCAACCTCAACATAAGATCCAAAAGCTTCCAAAGCCTTTCTTTTGTCCTTGACAAGTGCTTTAACCCGAGTCCCTTTCACAATCAGTTGCAGTATAATCATCTACATCAGCTAAGAATTAACACTTCTCAGTTTCATTTTTTAATAACTTTCATCTTGTTGCATCCAATGTATGATGATTCTGTGAAAGCAAACACACCTGACCCAAATCACTGTCTCCATCGGTTACAAAAACAACGTCATTTTCTCCATCAAGATCATCTTTTGCTTCCTCTGCTTCATAGGTTCCAAATGAGATAGAAATAAGAGTTATGGGTAAGTCCTGGCTTCTGAGATTCCAATTCAACCATTCTAAGTATCTTGCATATTGTTTTTAATGATACCTTCAAATTCATCGTCGTCTCCACTTAAAGATCCATCCTTTGGCCGAAGTTCAGGCGCTCCATACCATTTCCTAAGCTTAGGACCGCCTTAAAACAAGAAAAAACACAGACAAAGTCTCAATTTTTATTCGGACATAGTCTTCACATTTGATACCCAAATTTCAAATTTCTATGAACTTGAGAATACCTTCGATATAATCGAGAATCTGATCTACAAAACTGATTTTCTTCTTAGCCAAACAACGAACACGACAACGTTTTCCAGATGATATCCCAATTCGACATTTAGTTTCTGAGACCTGATTCGAAGAACAGAAGAGTAACGAAGGTCCTTGACTGAGGAGACACGAAGGTAGAGAAGTACCCGCCATGTCTGCAACTACAAAGATAAGGTTTCGTCCTCACTCTTCACCTTGCTACCGTAATCTCCCAAGAGTCCACTGTAACCCTCTATATGAGAAAGAGGTTTCTCTAAACCGGGATAATTACAAAAATACCTGCTGTTGGATTGGATAAGATTGTTGTGCAAGGTGTCCAGAGCAAGGCCTTTTATTTTGCAACCTTATCTCAACGTTCTGCTGCTGATAAAGATTGAGACTTTCTTCTAAAAATATTTCCTTTCTAGTTTCTAATTTTGTTCTCTCTTAGGTTTTATCTTCTATGACTCTATGAGTCTCTTTATTCATAGATGTATTCGTTTGATTCTATCTATATATATACCTTACTGATTAGTTATGTTATGAATTTATGATGTAGCTTGTTGAACTAGTAGTCATAGTTCTTGCTTAATGATATATAAATCTTGATTTAAACTCCTTCTGGATATTCTTTTCATTTCTATGATGATTTACTGTTGTTGTTACGTGTTTCCTTGGCATTGATCCATCTCTACTCAATCCTTACACCAGATTTTGATGGTATAAGAGGATCCAATGACAATGCTTATATTAAAAATGGAGTTTATAGTCTCTCTGAACTATCTATGTCCAAGTTCTTGGGAGTTCGGAAGCACCTTACATCGGCGACATTTGTTCTACTCTTTCTAAGTTTTCCTATGACAATTCTTTTCGTTTGCACATGCAGAGTTCAGTTGATGTGGTCTGATACTTGCTTCTTAGTTCCTTAACATTGTTCAATTTAATCGCAATGATAATGGGTTTGTGTTTAGATTTTTTCTTTTCTTTTCAAGTTTCCATTGTTGCAGGAGAAACAGGTCTACTCATGCATGCAACTTCCATTCCATGATGCAGCAAAAGGATCGTTGTTGCAAGAGAAGAAAAGTCCACAATGAGGTCCTGAAGGATCAAGGACATTGTTTAGCAACAAATGTTTGTACTGTGTATATATTGTTGGTTTTGTCTGAAAAGAACCAGACTTGTTTTTGAAACTATCATGTACTACTCTCTTCTTTTCAAATTATTATTTGCAGTTTCACACATTTGTTGTTATTTTTATTTATTTATAAAACAATGGTAAGGGTAAATTAAAAATAAATTAATAATTACAATTTTGTGAGACAGGAAAAAAAATAAAAAACATCCAACAGTTTGAGATATAATATAAAAAGTAAAAATTTAGCTACAAATTACTCCCTCTGTTTTTTAAAAGTTGTCGTTTTATCTGTATTTGGACAAATTAAGAAAAGGTATACAATTACTATATCAACCTCATAAAAATGACAAGTAATTATTTACAAATAATTTGTGTTCAATAAAATGAGGGTAATTTGGGTAGTTATTGGCATAAATTATATTATTACCTTAAAACGACAACTAATTTAAAACAAAAAAAAAGCTCCAAAACGACAACTATTCGAAAACGGAGGGAGTAACAAATAACAAATGCTCTGGAGTGGAGTCTGGACTAACCAATATAGTGAAACACCTAACCAAATTCACAGACGGCGTACAATCCTAGTGTAGATAGAGCAGACGACACGGCGTTCTTGCACACGTGACCTAAAAAACGGAACGTAGTTTACTCTGATTTCGCATATTAAGCTATTTACTGACGTGGCAATGTTTCGATATCGGACCAAAGCTGCATAAGTAATATACGGATTCCAAATCACAAAATAAAGAATTTTGAGTTGATAAAACGCTTTGGAGTCCGGGACCTGTTAATTTGCTCTAAGCACTGGAAAAAGAAAAGCCTAAAGAGAGCCAAACATAAAAAGCAGTACCAAAATTTTCCAAATTTCTTTTAACCCTTTTTGCTTATCTAAGAAGTTTCTCGTCTGAAATCATCGAAGATTAATCTATTCTTAGATATGACTTTGTCTCCGACGCTTTGAGGTCACCTGAAAGTGTAATCAATCGCTTTTCTGCTATAATTGTCACTCTCCGGCGACAAAACTTGGTTTCCGGTGGTAAGCATTAGAAATTCAATTATTTTGATTCGTTTCTGTATTTTCAAGCTCTGATTGCGTTCTTTCTTGGCTGTTTTTATGTGTTATATTCGTAATTCGATGGAATAATAATACCGAAAGTTTTCAAATTGATTGTGAGAATTCAAGGGCTTTGTTTGTCAATTGTGAAACTTGTGAATTCTTTGGAATTTCAAGATGGGGAATTTAAATTTGTAGTCTTTCTTAATTTTGTATACTTTCCTCTTCAAAGTCCTTACTTTTGTTTGATTATAGATACTTCTCACTTTGGGACTGCTTTGTTTTCGTCTGATGGTTATTATTTGAATGAGAATCCGTTTTGTGTTTAGGTTTTTGGTTTGAAATTGTGCAGAGATGCTGTCAATTTGTATATCCAAATTTGCAAATAGTAAAAGATTGTTTTCTTTCTTTGGTAGAGTAAGTTATATTGGACTGCAGCATCCTTTGGTGGATTGTTTTTTAGTTCTTACTTGAAGAGTATATTGAGCATTTATCAATTTGTTTTGCCTGTTTGGGATTTCAGATTGTGTATGTTTTAAGTTGGATTTGCGATGGGAACTGTGGTTGGAACTGTTGAGGACCGCAGAGATATGTTTGAGGGCAGTGCTCAGACAAGGATCACACCGTTTTCTTCAACAAATCAGATTGGAAATCCTGTTGCCTACAAGCTTGTCCGGGTATGGCTATAAATGTGTTCTTTTCGATGTCTTTCTTATAGTTGATCTTGTTGTTTGATATAGTTTCTAAGATTTCTTTATGTGGATTCTGTCGTCCGAGTTAGAACAGGAAAAAGAAATTCTAATAGCGTTACTCTTCTCTTGGAATTGAGAATCTATCTACTATGATTATAGATGTTAGCCTTTCAAAATCTTATTTTGGGTGGTTTATGAAAATGGTTAGGTTTCAGGAGATGGGAGTCTAGTGCCTGCAACCGATGAAGAAATTTTGGAGGTCAATGAGACGGATATGCATATTGCATCAGATGCATGTCAGACTGTAGGCTACCTTGCAACAGATGAAGAAAATTCGGAGATCAATGAGACGGTTATGCATATTGCATCAGATGCTTGGCAGACTGTAGGCTACCTTCCAGCTGAAGGGATACCTTCTCGGTTGTCCCAGCTTGAAAGCTCAGAAGGTTTGGTGCCCATAGGCCTTTACATGTTGAACCATTCTTGCTTAAAAGCCTATGATAGTTTAGCCCTAAGTATGTTCCTTTTCTTAAGGGACATTTGTTTCTATGGTCAGGAATGCCTTGTATACCCAATTGCACTTCTTTAAACATTTTCTATAGTTACACAGAGTGGTTATGCTAGATGTAAATGAGAGAGAGAGTTAAATTTTTGGGTTTCTTAACCAAACTATAGATGAGTATCAATCTATTGCACATTTATACCAATCTCTATTATTGATATATCCCCATATATGCTTATGTCTCTGTGGCTTTCTCTATCTTATGTTGAGGATTCAGATAGAATTGGACAATTAATGATAAAAATTTCTTATTCTTTCAGCTATCGGTTCAGGTTTATTGCAGTCTGATAGTGTGCAACCATATACAGACCAGGTAAAGTCTCCACCTGAGGTTAGTCCCAGTTCAGAAATATTAAAAATAGAATTTAAATTTATGGCATTGTATCATTTCCACAATTAGATTCTTAATGTTTTAATGTATAAGAACTCTATCAAAGACCAGATGGCCTTACTCCTAAGATTTTGCTCCATCTTTGAGATTTTTGCAGTCCAATGAGAAGATGTTGCAAAAGGTTGAACAGGAAGAGAGGCTTGGCAATATACATGGATCTCAGATGCCTTCTACTCCTCGAGATGCCAATATCCAGTGTTCTGATGAAAACAACTTTTTTGAGGAGGATCAAGTCCACCATGAAGATTTGCTGCAAGAACCCATACCTCTCTCATTGAATGTTCAGAATGAATGCAATATGAATCAATCTGATAAGATTGAACCATGCTCAAACGCAGCAGCTAGTCCCAAAGAAACTGCATTGTCTGGTGCTGCTCAAAAACCTGATTTTTCTAGAGTTAGAGGCGAGATCTGCTTGGATAATTTACCGATTAAAGCACTGCAAGAAACATTCAGGGCAACGTTTGGCCGTGAGACGACTGTTAAGGACAAGACGTGGCTCAAAAGGAGGATTGCAATGGGACTTATTAACTCTTGTGATGTACCAGCAACTAACCTGAGAGTGAAGGATAAAATGTTAGTTGGAAATCAAGAGAAGACCAACGATGTGACTAATGCTATTAGCAAGGATATGGGTGATGACGTAAGAGCTACTAAAATGAAAGATGCACCATCGAGTACTGATCATGTGAATGGACATTCAAATGCAGCTGGCCAAATTCTCGGTGGTGACCACTATTATGCTAGTGAGGATTATTCCAGTGAACAGAGGGCTGCAAAACGAGTTAGGAAGCCTACACGAAGATATATTGAAGAACTTTCAGAAACAGATGAAAAACAGCAAAATGACAAGTCAATGATTCCTTCTAAAGATCAGAAGCTGTCCGAAAAATCTGAGGTCAGGTCTATCAGTGTCTCCTCGGGGAAGAGAGTTACCGTCACCAGGATGGTATCCCTTGCTGGATCTGAAATTGAGGTTCCTTATGTTTCTCATGTCCGGAGAAGCCGTCCAAGAGAGAACATTATGGCTCTTATGGTATGTCTTTTGGTTACTCATTCTCCTCAATATAGTAATTAATGTCATACCTTTCCTTTGAACCGAAAAAGCTTCCAATCATCTGGCTCCTGTTACATCTGTGCCTTGTATCACGTGCCAAATTCTATCTCAAGAAGCAAAGATACAAAAATAATAAAACGAGTGATCATCTTCTTTGCCATTATTTGACTTTGCTGTTATGTGTAATTAAGGATCTTACAACATTGTGTAGGGATGTCATTCCAGTTACTTGGAAGATAAAGCTAGTGCAACAGAGAGTAACCTCAATCTGAGTCCATCTCAGTTAAGCAGTGAGGTTGTGAACCGAGATTTGGTGGAAAAGTCTGCTTCTAGACTGGTCCAAAAAGAAGTAAGACATCTATTGCTTAAGTTACCTTTGTCTCGTTATTCTCATTTCGTACTTTGTAGATAGTAGAAATGGTATAGGGTTCGATTGCATTTACCATCTACATGATATTTTAGATGAATTTGGTGTTCCAGGTATGACATAGTTTCTTATTGCTTTATTGCTTTGCAAATGCAGTTTGCTACAAGTGAAGAGAACAATGAGGAGCATATTCTCTCTGAGGTTGATCAAGACATGGAGCCAGAGCACATAGACTCATCTGGAAATAGCTCGGATGACAATAATAACATTGGCGTGCCAATCATGCAAGGTGGTGCACTTAGAAGAAAGCATCATCGAGCTTGGACTCTGTCTGAGGTTACAAAACTAGTTGAAGGTGTATCAAAATATGGAGCCGGCAAGTGGTCTGAAATCAAAAAGCATTCCTTTTCGTCCTACTCATATCGTACCTCTGTAGATCTCAAGGTAATTCAACTTTTGAACCCTCTTTGCATATCCTATCAATCAAGGCTTTAGTTTAACCATATTGTTGTTTTGTAGGACAAATGGCGAAATCTTCTAAAATCAAGCTTTGCTCAGAGTCCCTCAAACAGCGTGGTTCCTCCCTCTGTCTCTCTCTCTCTCTCTCTCTCTCTCTCTCTCTCTCTCTCTCTCTCTCTCTATCCCTTTAGCTTCTAACTGCAGTTTCTTTTGCTCAAGTTGTAATAACGAGAGCTTATGAGTATACTGTCGTGTTTCCAGGGAAATCTCAAGAAACATGGGTCAATGCATATTCCTACGCAGATTCTGTTAAGGGTAAGGGAGCTCGCGGAGAAGCAATCTCAGTAAGCAAGTTTGTTGGAGATAGGAACAGAAAGGAAAAGGAAACAAGATCCGACTTCTAGTAGCTGAGTTTTTGTAAAATAGCAACTCAAGTAAGGGAGACGAGAAATGTGAGATAACAGTTTCTTTAGACTTGTAACTTTCTAAGGAAGCTTTGTGGGTTATATATATATGAGAAAAGTATTAAGCAGTGTCTGTGTCTTGAATTGGTATGAATGGGTTCTCTATAATATCCATGGAAGCATGCTGATCTCGTGCGAACTGTGTTTCACTCGGACTTGAATTGGGCCTTTTTTTGTATTCGATCCATTATTTATTGGAGATGGTTCTCGACCCACACATGTGTCCTTCTCGCTTTCTCTAGAACCATCCCCTAATCACACTCATCAAAGTTCCCTTCTTTTCATGCAAAAACTTCACTTTTTTATGTTGTTTTCCGCTAAATTTTCGAACACATAGCTCTGTTACTACCAAGAGTCATATGTAAGGGTAAGTTGCATAGTTTCGTATGTAATCTGAATTTCAAACTTTTTTGATGGGTAGATAATCAACGCCAAAGAGGTGAGAGGTTACTTCTTTCAGAATTTTAGTTAATTAAAAGCTTGATCCTTCAGATGATACATCTCCCTTTTGCATTAGTTTAAAGATTGTGTCTTTTTGAGTTAATGATTAATTGGTGATTTCATGATTTTGCCTTTTAAATATTTGTCTGATTGTTGTTGGTTTTTTTTTTTAATGCTGAAACTGAAACTAGTGAAGATACCTCAGTCCTCACCTATCTCCAGAAATCGAGTAGTAAAGTCTGAAAGAAAAATGGGAATCGTGGAAAGGATTAAAGAGATTGAGGCCGAGATGGCTCGGACGCAGAAGAATAAAGCTACAGGTTTCTTTTTACATTATATAACGTATAGATGTATAGACATGAGAGTCATCATTGATTTTCATATATTTTTGAAACAAAAGCAGAAGAAATGAAAATATTGTTACATTTGATGGACAGAGTATCATCTTGGTCAGCTCAAGGCAAAGATTGCAAAGCTCAGAACACAACTCTTAGAGCCTCCAAAAGTAATGCAACTTACTTCTTATGAAATAGTTTGTCAACCACTATTGTCTGTGTGCATTATGTTTGGATCCTGTTACTAGGCATGTTTAGGATGGCTATAGCTATAGTGTACAAACTTCTATATTCTTTTTCATTTCTGATTTTCTTGTAAATGTATTCCAATCTACCTAACAGGGTTCTAGTGGAGGTGGGGATGGTTTTGAAGTTACAAAGTATGGTCATGGACGTGTTGCACTTATAGGCTTTCCAAGGTCCATCTTGAAATGCTCTACTCAGCACAAATTCATGTATCTGTATTTTAGAGTCCTCACTTGGGTAAATTTGGGTTTGTGGCTGTGATTTGCAGTGTTGGAAAGTCCACGCTTTTGACAATGTTAACCGGCACACATTCTGAAGCAGCCTCATATGAATTTACAACGCTTACATGCATCCCTGGAGTAATTCACTACAATGACACCAAAATTCAGTTGCTTGATCTTCCTGGAATTATTGAAGGTGCTTCAGAAGGAAAGGGACGAGGAAGGCAGGTTTAAATCCAATTGATTCTTATCCTTCTTACTCCTTTGTACCCTTTTTTTCCTCAAAACGTTAAGGAATGCTATGAAATGAACTTAGATGGAACCTGTATGTATCTCAGGTTATTGCTGTTGCAAAGTCTTCAGACCTTGTGTTGATGGTTCTTGATGCCTCAAAAGTAAGAGCTATGGTTTAGATTTCCATAGTGTGCTGGTTCTGTCTTTTTTTCGCTTTGCTATTTTAATCTCACTATTTCTTCTTCCAAAATCGTTTTAGAGTCAAGGTCACAGGCAAATACTGACTAAGGAGCTTGAAGCAGTGGGTCTGCGTCTAAACAAAAGACCTCCACAGGTAAAGCTCATATTTATCAATGGTATCCCTTTCTAAACTCTTAATTCTCTTTTACTTTATCTGCTTGCTTTCTGTTTTATATCTTAACTCTTAAAACCCACAATCCATCTTCTGTTATTCAGCAAAGGCTTGCCTTTTTAGAAACTGCTACACCAGGTCCAGCTTGATGTAATCCCATTTAGTGGTGTTTTGCTTTCTTTATTGTAACAGATATACTTTAAGAAGAAGAAGACTGGTGGGATTTCTTTTAACACTACCGCACCCTTGACTCGCATTGATGAGAAGCTCTGTTATCAAATTCTGCATGAATACAAGATTCACAATGCTGAGGTACTTAAGTCCATCTTTAATCTTGTTTTTATTCAGCCTTGAAAAAGAGTCATTCCGTGTCTCTCTTGTCCGCAAGTTAGAAGTAGAACTATAAAAACTTTAAATCATTTTATTTTGCTGCTTTGTTGAGAGATATGTAATGGGTTTAGTAATATAAAAATTGCAGGTTCTATTTCGTGAGGATGCTACGGTGGATGACTTTATTGATGTCATTGAAGGCAACCGCAAATACATCAAATGTGTATATGTCTACAACAAAATAGATGTTGTTGGAATCGATGATGTTGATAGGCTAGCACGGCAGCCAAATTCTATTGTTATTAGCTGCAATCTAAAGGCAAGTTCTTTAATTTTGAAGAGTATTGTCTAAATAAAAATCCTATCCAGTGCAGTTCTAGCTTCTTCATAATGGTTTGATTCCTGTATAGACTGAAACTTGTGAATATATATACTGGAAGACTCTGGTCTATTAATGGTAAATGATGGTGTTACTTGAAACAGCTAAACTTAGACAGACTACTTGCAAGAATGTGGGACGAAATGGGACTTGTGAGAGTTTACTCAAAGCCTCAAAGCCAACAACCAGATTTCGATGAACCCTTTGTCCTCTCAGCTGTAAGTATAATACCCTCAACACTTTTCTTGCTGATTTTTAGGCTTCTTTTGTATAAATAAGAATTTACAGATATGATTTTTCATGTTTGTACTTCACAATAACATCTGTGGCAGTAATATTTGATTTCCATGTGTTACTCCTCAGGATAGAGGTGGCTGCACAGTTGAAGATTTCTGTAACCACGTCCACAGAACTCTGGTGAAGGATATGAAGTATGCACTGGTTTGGGGCACAAGCGCTAGGCACTACCCTCAACACTGTGGTCTTTCTCATCATCTTGAGGATGAAGATGTTGTTCAAATCGTCAAGAAGAAGGTACAGAAGCGTAAACTATTGTCTGATCTCTGTCTCATGATGAGAATGCTACATCAAATGTTGATGCTTGTCGGAATTTCAGGTGAGAGAAGAAGGAGGAAGGGGACGGTTCAAGTCACACTCAAACGCGCCTGCTAGAATTGCAGACCGTGAGAAGAAAGCTCCACTAAAGCAATAAGACAGTTGCTCATCCTGAATTTTCCCAAGTAAGACAGACCTTATGTGTATTAAAACCATAACTAGAAGAATAAATGGAAAGCGATACTTGTTAGTGCCAATATCTACTGTAAACTCTGTTATTAGTCTATAAAAAGGCATTCCTGTCTTGATTTCATGTTGACAAGAGCTAGGAACAGATTGTTTCAGGAAATATGAGAAGTAAACGATTGATGATCCAAGTGCCAAATAACGACATTTGTAGTCTCGAAACTAATTCCTTAACATTCATATGTAAAAAGATACACAGAAGTTGCTTCTGTATCTATATTCCGGGTATGTGTTTCATGGGACCAACAAGCTGTTGAGATGATTGAAGGCATGATTACTTAGCCTCTCTGGCTCTTTGCCCACATATGTCTACCTGTTACTTGAGCTGGTGGGTATAAATCAGTACACTGGTTGCTCAATGGATCCGAACCAGCACTACGCCTTACATTTACATCTCCGTTGTAAGACATTGACTGTTTCTTCTCAAACGGTGTTTTGGAACAAGAGGATGAAGACCCTGATCGTCTCTGCTTAGCTTTAATAGATTGTGTCAGGCTCATGTAGCTCGGCTTTCTGTAGTACCCTCCTTCCTCAAGGAAACTTCCCGAGAAGGGAACTGGGGATTGAGATGTTGACGAAGACTCAGAACTCGTAGCAGACGATGACATTGGAGGAGGTCTAACCAAAACTCTGGTTGTTAGATTGTTCTTCCTGACCTGAACTGTGTCATGTTCAGACACACTGCTCTCACTTTTCCTTGCATTCTCTGATGAGTTCGTAGGACCTTCCATCAACCGACCTTCCCATGGCCTGTCTGCAACCCATCGGTCAAGCCAATTCCAACCTGGACTGCTCTTGCACGACCCATTACTCTTTTTAACACTCCCTTGCTTGTTCGCCTTGGCCGGACTTGGACACGTCCTCGGCTGTCAAAATATGAGAAACTCAATGAACACAAATGCTCTGAGAGAGTAAATCCTCAAAAATTTGATTCTAGTTATGAATCCCATTACCTGATGTGTCAAGGCATATACCATAGCTCTCTCCCTCTTGATTGCTCCTTCTTGCCTCATTTGCAGCTTTGTTCTCACTTCATTTATACTTCCCGGGCTATCACACCAACCCTTCTGAACAACACATCATTGCAAAATATTTACATTTAGTCACCCACGAGTCCCATTTTATCCCAATTCATATCTGATAATCATTACCTCAGCCTGTTTGGCCGGATCATCTTTTTGTTGATCAGATGGCTTCTGCAACTCCAGTCCATCTGAAGGCCCCCTATTGCAATGAGCTCGTACCCGAGCTTGGACTCGAACAAGAGCTTGCATACACCTTAGTGTCACATCTGCTTGTTTCCGGACTTGTCTACCACGGAATATCGCCTGAATCCTCACCACCGCCTTCAGAGCTCTCAGCGCTTGTCTTGCCTGTAAAATGCATCCATTAAAAGATTGACCACAAAAAGCTACAGGGAAGAAATCAAACGAAGTGCTCAAATGAATTGACTTAGTTTAAGGATCCATTAATTGTTGAAGGTTGATCCTTTAGTACTTTTATGTTCCATATACAATCATATCTCTAAATCTAATGTTAAAACCAATGAATAGTTCACTAAACCAAAGAGCTTATCAGTAATAGTGGTTAAAGTCGCAAACCAGGAAAGCTCGAAAAGCAGCCTGAATCCGTGTAGCAGCCCATTCTCGTTTAACAAGAAAGAAATCTTTCGGCGGAGCTCTGATGACTGCAGCAACAGCCGCCGTGAAAGACTCGTCAGCAGAGAAAGACGGCGGGTCTGAACCCAACGAAGGAGTTCCATAACTACCACCACGGCTCTTGAAACCTTTTGAAGAAGAAATCAAGCCTTCTGATGAAGTCCTCCATAGTTTCCATTTCTTCTTGATATTCTTCTCCTGCGACCAAAAGAATCAGTTACTGAGAGATGAACAGAGATCACTGAGAGATGAACAGAGATCGATCAAGTGTAAAGAAGAGAGCTTTTTCGAGATTTACTTGATCATCAGTGATGGGTTTTTTGTTACTTATCAGAGATTTAATCCAATTTCCAGAGCCACCCATTTGCTCAAATTTGAAACCTTTGTTCTTCAAAAACCGTAATAAAGTTGGAGACTTTCACTGGTTTTGGAATCAGATCCGGCGGAGAAAGGTCGATTCGAGAATTTATAAGTAAAAAATCTCGAGAGGGGAAGAAGAAGAAGAAAAAGAGAGAGAAAGTTTCTGGGAATTTTGGTGGCCTGAAGAATGATGCAGACAAAAAAGGTTTGCAATTGTTAAAAGAAGCGAAGCGTTTGAAATTTGAAATTTTGGTGAAGCAAGGAATATAAAACATTTAATATTTTTTTTAATTTAACGGTAACATTATTCATTGACATTTCGCTTTCGTCGTCATAAATAAATGACTCATAAAACATTGGAAAAAGAAATAATTCATCTCTCATGCCTCGCGTGATTATAATCTTCCTTAATTTGCGTTAGGTACATTTATATAAATAATTATGAAATGACCACCTTATTTCTTGTTTCTTAGTTTTCCACCCCGTAACTCTTTGTAAGCAATTAAAAAGTCCATTTGGGAATTTTTAATGTAGAACTCTCCATAGGGTCTTCTTATTACCAAGTTTATGAGTAACTTATTCTCAGTAATCTTCATTTATTTACTTTACTAATGAAAAAAAGGACAAGAGAACAAATAAAGATTGTAGCAGTGTGTATTATTCTATTACAGGCTCAAAGATACAAGTTTTTTAGTTATTAGATTTATTGACTTTCAGAGATGCCTCTAAATGAGACAAGGATTCGTCATTTCTTCGCAGCTCATTCAGTTCAGGGAGTTCTTGATGTCAATCACGAAACGATACTTGATGTCCTTCTTCACCACTCTTTCGAGAGCTTCGTTTATATTCTGAATAGGAATTACCTCTATGTTTGGGTAAATCTTATGAGCTGCACAGAAATCTATCATTTCCTGTGTTATTTTGGTACCCCCGGTTACACTTCCCGCGAGCATTCTCATACCTGTCCAAACATCTTTGGTTTCAGTATCTTAGAGTATGTAAGAAATGGCAGGACTGATTATAAGACTTTTTGAGTTGCATACCAAGATTGAGATTGGCAGGACTGATTTTAATTTCACTTGGGAAACCAACCAGGACATAAGTTCCAGCAATCTTCAAGAGAGACATGTAAGGATCAAACGCGTGATCACCAGATGCTGTATCAATGATAAAGTCTAGAGATTTCGCTAGTGCCTGCAAGTAAAAATGTAGATTCACAAGTTAAGTTTCTGGTTCCATTCCTGACGATCACAAAGATATTAAAACTTATTTTACTACCTTCATCTGATCATGGTCAGACGAGATAACAAAATTCTCAGCTCCCAGCAGATTCAAAGCTTCCTCTTTCTTGGAAATGCTGGTGCTAAAAACCGTAACACTAAGTCCAAAAGCCTTGCCAAATTTAACTGCCATGTGCCCAAGACCACCTAGCCCAATCACCCCAAGAGATTTACCAGGTTGATTCATATTGTGACGCATCATAGGCGCAAAAACCGTGATTCCAGCACAGAGTAATGGTGCAGCTGATTCCAAGGGATAGTCCACAGGTATCTTGTAGCAGTACCTATTGTAATCAATAATTAAAACACAGGAAAAAAACTAGTACTCAGAAATCATTTGCTTCCCTTCAATACTTAAAAACTCATTCACAAGTTTCAAAAGTATGAAATGGAAAGAGAGGAAAGCAGATACTAACCTCTCATGAACAACAATGTGGCTGGAGTAGCCTCCTTTAGTAACAGAGCCATCATGATCGATACCATTGAAAGTAAAAACTCCTTTTGCACAATTAACTTCTTGTCCGTCGTTACAATATTCACACTCCCTGCAGGAGTTAACATACGTTCCAACACCAACATGGTCTCCAACTTTGAATCGTTGAACATTAGGCCCAACCTTAGTCACTATTCCAGCAATCTCATGCCTTAAGAGGAAAACAAATGAATATCAATTCCACTAGTAAGGTGTAAAGTTTGGTTTTTTAAAACATACCCAGGAACCAAAGGGTACTTAGAGTCTCCATGTTGGTTTCTAGTCCAGATAACATCAGCGTAACACACTCCACAATGAGTGATTTTGAGTGAAACATCGTCACTTGTAACAGACCTGCGAGTGAATTTGTGAGGAGAAAGAAGACCAGATGGATCTTTTGCCGCCCAACACATGCACTCGTTTTCCCCAGTCTCTGAAGAACTCATTGGCGATTTTCAATTTCTCGATTACCTAATCAAGAGTCGTGTATCGTTTTTGATTTGTGTTGATTGATCTGATCCAAAACCAAAACAGAGCAATCTTTTTGCTTTTGTAGTGACTCAATTCCCAAACTGGTCATGGGGGGTTTTGGTTTTTTTTTTTTTGTTGGACTCACTTACAAACAAAGAAGCCCATTATAACCCAAAAAGGCCCATTTAAAGTCCAATAAGTTGAATTCGATTTTGGTTTATTATATTGTAAAGACTCCTTTTACATCTTACGCAAACGCCACCGAATCAGGAACCAAAAATAGAAGAAAGCTGCAAGATCGAGAACAAGAACCATCGATGGCGGATCAAAACCGATCAGGTACTCACAATCAACGATCATGGGTTTACGCATTTCTTTAATTTCACCGCGCTTCTCGTGTGAAAAGGAAGATTTTTTGTTCAAAATTATGTTTGTTTCCTCAAATTCACTATCAAATTTACGCGTCTATTATTGGATGGTTTTGATCGGAAAATTTTCTAAAGAAACAATATAGGTCCGTTTTTGATTCGTTGCTCTGTTTTTTCTCTTATGGAATAACGAATCCAAACCCTTTTTCTATTGTTGGGTTTCATAGAGGAGAAGAAGGTGAAATCGCCTAAAGTGTTTGAACGAGTCAAAGAAGAAACAGAAGCAATGGGTCATCATGAAAAGTCGAAGAGTCGTCACCATCACAAAGAGACTCATGGAACAAGTGACGATATTGATCAGAACACTCCAATTGATTTTGTGAAGGGACCTGGTTTCTTTCAACGAGTCAAAGAAGAGATCGAAGCCATCTTTAATGCTGTTACTCCCAAGCGTTCTTCAAAGAAGTGAACTTTCATTATATCTGTGTTTGAGTGTATATATGTTCATGCACAAGTGAGAAGAAGATCTAGATAAACCCAGTTTCGTGTAATGAATCGTATCAGAATGTTGGACCTCTAATAATCTTCATTAGTTCATGACATTTGCAAATGTCATAATTTCTGTGAATTCGAATTGAGATCGTTATAAGTCGTTGGTCTAACAGATGGTCAATAAGGTGAAGTCTGGTTTAGGACTTATAAGGAAAGAGGAGTTTTGCCGGTTTGAAGTAAACCGAGTTTCTTAGTCATTGTACTCTGTTTTGTAACTTTATTTGAATTGATGTCTCTCACGGGTTTGTGAGGTGGTGGTGAACCAAGTTTATAATCTCCCTCGAAGATCATAGTGATAAACTAGTATAGATCTTGTGAAGATGTGGACATTTTCATTACAAACTTATAAACTCGTGAGTACGCTCGGTTTGATTCGGAAAGTTTTGGTGGTTTAATCGATTCTTATGTTTGGGAGGGTTTCTATAGAAGAATGTGAAACCAATTATTTTTAAACCAGAAGATATTTATCTATTGAAGAATACCATATAGCGTTGCAGAGACGTTAATAAAAGTATCTAAGGACACTAAGATTGTTTCTTGACACGATCTTGTTGGAGTCCATAGACAAAATAGTATCATTAGCTTCTTCTTTTTTTCTTTTTAACTTTATTTGTTTGTTGTAATGGGAGGAAAAAAAAAAGAAAGAAATAGACTTAACGATTGGTAAAATAGCACACCGAACGAAACAACTCTTTTGGTTTCATGAGAGTTGTCTTGTACTCTTATGAATGTGATGTGCCTAACTTTTAATTTTCCCAATGATTTTGGAAATCGAACTACTCCGATAAGAAAGTTACAATCGTCACCACTATCCCATTTATGGTTTTTAATTCTTCTTTTGACACTTTTTCTCCCATCTTTGATATATTTGAATCCTCTTTATTAAAGATAATTTTCGGATACATACATTATCTTGAAACTAAATATATAATTTAAATCAAGTTTTGATTAATGCAATGAAAGATATAATTGGAAACTATCAAACTGTAAACCTGATGAAATTTGAACTATAGTCGAAATGGTTATTTGATTTTTCTAATGAATTTACATACTCAGTTTTATACTCGATATATAACGTGTCCACTATTGATTATATTTGGCTTGATTTGTCGCATAAATACGGCGGGACCAAAAATAAATTATATGATTTCGAGATTCTTATGTCCTATTAAGAAAAAGAATGTACGTAATAAATAGCATACGACACCTGTTTATCATCCGGTGGATATTAAATTTAAAACGTTTATTATTAGGAAAAATATTGGGGATTGAGAGTTTAATTTATATATAAAAATATAAACACTATCAATCAAATTAAACATTTTCTAATCTCTAAAGTCTTCAAAAGTTCATTACTATATCACTCTTTCTATAAAATATTTGTCGCATTAAACCCCGACAAGCCCATATGATACTTAAATATATTTACAAACGTAATACTACAATAATACAAACAAAATGTATAGTAGTAATAAATTACATACTTACAATTTAGAATTTAAATTTAATTTGGCGGATTGGTTTCACCAAGCCGTGTTGGGTTGCACGTAAAGAGGACCACCACGTTGATTAGTGTTTTAAATGAACCCAAACGATTTAAATTCCGTTGTGGGACTCCTCTTTGTGGGTCCTAATCCCTCCCTCCACGTTTCGAGTTTTAGTCGTCCGATTTGTGTTCGATCAGAATATTAGTATTCCGGTTGAAAAAGTCATATAAACCAACGGATACGATGAGCTGTTGGCTGAACTAATCAATAGTAAGGACTTTGACCACGACATTACAACGGCTTGTCCTAATCATTTGCTTATTTTTCCACAATGTATTAGAGTAAGTTTTGGTTTCGGTCTAATTTGATGATTTGTACCAGTGGAGGACTTCTCTGAAGTCTACTCACAAAATAAAATAAAAAATGAAAAGGAAAAATGGGGACCTAGCGGCTAGCAGTAACAAATACGATAGGGTCCATAAAAGTCAGTGAAAATAGTTAAAAAAAAAGTGGTCAATATCGTGTGCAGGGGAAAAAAGAAAGTACAAAACTCGAAAAAAGGACTATAGAATCATGAACGTGGACCGATCCCATGTGATTATCCTTCGAACCAAAGTTAACTTGAAAGCTTTTCTGAATGAAAAATAAAACAATACCTTAAAATATTCCACGTTGACATACAAATAAAAATCCTAACACAACAACAAAAAAACGCGAAAAAGTAAAATTCGTTTTTGGTTCAGTGTGTTTTTCTTAATAAAATACGTCAAATCGTATCCAAATTTAAATTCGATTGTTTACCATTTCTAATGTTTAAAATTGAAATAATACTAATTATTCGCATGGTAACGAGGATTATTTATTCAGTTAAACTTTGATTTTGGCTAGTGACAGTCTTTGTACTATTTACTCACTCATTATGTCGACAAATATGCTTTATTGAAAGGTCAACACCAAACTAAAAACGTCCCTTTCTCCAAAACTCTAATCCACCTATATAGTTATCCTATCTATAATTACATCTAATTGAAATACTCGTAAGGAAGACTGTAACATCTACGTTGTTATTCAATTTCATATACATTCACAGATTTGTTTTGTTCATCACGTCTTTTTCTCTTAAGCGGTGTGTCATTCGAGTTGTTGATATTAGAAAACAATCTCCACTATACGAATTTATCACGTATGTATATATGATCGTTGTTTCTGGATCTTATCCGATTAGTGTAAACAATTAATTCTAAATATTTATTCCATTATATCTCGATCTATAAGTTATAACTAACATGAATTTTAAATATTTATTCCGTAATTATGTCTTGATGTATCACTAACTTAATTCATCTACACGGAAGAAGTTTTCCGTAGATAGTTTGTACATTTCATGTTCTTATGAGTCAACCAAAACCAACCCAGCTATCTCAAAACTTGTAAATATAGAATGTTTTAAAAATTTATTTAATTAATTAAATGAGTGATTGGTTGGACTATAGAATGTAATTATAAATTATTTATTGTAAGATTTTTGCTGTGAAGGATTTTTTGTGTAGTTCTGTTGGTTGTATATGTAGAATTTGTTTTCGGTTATATACTTATATGTATTTTATAATAAAAATAATTGATAAATATAAGACCTGTGTTAAATATTTTAATAAAAAATGGTGCATATAATATCATTTTTATGCTATTTGTTTCCGTGGATAATCTCCTGATTTTTAAAACTCATATTTTTTTCATTTCATTTTATCATATTTTTAATCTAATATTGGTGTGAATGTTTTTAATCTACATATTTTACAGCAAAAAAAAGGCTTTGGGATTTTTACCTGTTATAGGATTTTTTTTTTGAACTATAACTTTTAAAATAAAGCTACAACATAATTGATACAAATTTGTGGTAGAGAAAAGGCTGTAAAAAAGTTTTACAGTTGAGCCAATCACACCCTAAATTTTGCATATATATATATATATATATAACCATATGAAAAAATTAGCCCAAAATTCAATTGATTAAATATAACAACTTTTGTAATTAGTTAATAGCAAAATATATTTTGATCAGTGCATGGGTTATTCTAAAAAATAAAAAATACTTCTTTTTTTTCCCCCCAAATAAAAAATACTTCTAGAAGCTAATTTTCAGTATAATCTATTTCTTATTAAATATTTAGATTATGGAAATTCTGATTTAAATTTATAATTGGAGTCCCATATATTTGATGGTGTAACAAGAAAAAGAAACGGTGGGGATTGGTTGAACCACTCCCTGGAAAATTTGCTTCGTTCGCAGATGAGAATAAGGTTGTGACAACGTCACCACCATCTCTCTCTCCTATGTATTGCTAATTTTTTTTTTGTTGAATATATTATTATCTCCTAAGTTTCTGAATCAGATACCCTTTTTTCTTTTTCAGCAAATCATAGACCTACGAATACGATTTTTTTTCCTTTTTTGTCGGGACAAAACTAGAACTTTGTTTTCCTCTTAAGAAAGTGAAATTCAGAAAAAAAACGTCTTTCTAGTTATGGACCTTTTACCAAAATCAGTGTTCAAGAAAGCGCTAGGCGCTAAGCGGGCGGTGACTCAGTGCCTAGCGCCTAGAACGCCTAATCGGGGCCTAGGCGATTTTTTAAGCGGTTTAGACGTTTATAACATAATACATTATAAATATGATATTATATATAAAAGTTATATAAAATATTAATATAAAACTAAAAATTATGAAATTATAAACAAAAACTAGATAAAATATTTATTTATATTTATATTAAACAATATATGAATATTTATAACTATATATATATATATATATAAATAAAACTCTAATTGAAATTGAAAAAATACATTAAACAAGATCTATGTAATTTTAGGCGGTCAAGGCGTTTATCTAGGCGTCGAATGAGAGCCTAGCGCCTAGTCGGGGCCTAGGCGACCGCCTAGACCGCTTTTTAGAACAGAGACCAAAATACTCCAAGATTTATACATTTTTTCTTTTGTTTCTTACTATAGTCCTTTACACAGAACAGAAAATTCATTAGAAGACATGCTATCTATATTTTTAATAGGATGTTAATTTTTAAAAATTCTTTACTTTTGACCACATTTTTTTAAATAACAGTTTGTTCATTATTTTGTAGTTATATGTTATATAAGGGTAATTAAAACTAGGGTTTACCTTAGATTTTCCTTTTGAGTAATGTAATAGTACTATACAAAACAACATAATTAGGAGAATAAAATTCTAATGTTAAGGAATATAATAAATATACATTTGGTGATATGCCTTTAGTCAAGTGGTTAAGTCCATCTGACTCCGCCTTCCCCACCGGAGTTCGACTCCACTAAGTCGCGTTTCCCCGCGTAGTAGGGATTAGTTATGGATCGGGCTTTGTCGATCCAAAGATATCAAAAAATAAATAAATATACATTTAAAAAATCAAGACATCAAAAAAGCAGAGACAAGTTTTGTTTTTGAGGAAAATAACAATTATTCAACAGTCACGCCTTGTAGAAAATTTAAAATCTGAAATTCCAATGAAACGCGGTTTAATTACATTTTTTCTTCTTTTGATAAGTACAGCTGGATCATAAATACCTTATATATTTTCCAGATTTTGTATTTGATTTGTTTTCTTTACTTGCAAAGCTCTCTCTCACAAGTCACAAGTTAAAAACCCTCTTTTTTTTGGTAATGGCATACGTATATTGATAATAACGTATCTACCAATTAGACTATTTTTATAATTTAAAATACTTGTTAATTCAAGTTTAATT